CCTTTGAATATGGCAAACTTAAAGCGTTCAGTTATTAAAAATGGATTGATGGAATGCTGAAAGATAACATTACTTTGACATAAGTGAAAAGAAAGACCGTTTTTAGACGAAAAGGAACTCATTGCACTAGGTACTGTTTATTAAAATTTTCACTTCTTAAGATTTTTCACAAAATTGAAGAAAAAAAAGATTTTAAAGAAACATTCACAATGAACATAATAAAAAAAGTAAAGTAACAGCCTATGTTTTTCCCAAAGCAGCGCAAAAGCCTCCTCTGCACGGAGAGAATTAGGCCATAGTCCACGCGGTCCCACTGCTGATTGGCGGGCGTCACATATCTCTGAAACTTTTTTTTGTTGTTGTTTCTCAAATGTGCAGGTTTCCTAACGATGTCTTCCTTCACCGAGCACGTGATAATTTAGCACTTAAAATTAACAATTTCATTGATGCCGGCACCGAACTCAGGTTGCTCGAGTATATTGAATTAAAAGCGAGCACCCGGGCAATGACCCATCACGGTAGGCCGAAACGACTTTGTCACCATAAAATATATATATATATATATATATATATAAAATATATTTTATATATATATATATATATATATATATATATAAAATATATATATATATATATATATTTTATGTGACAAAGTAGTTTGCCATATTCAAAGGATTCTTATGTTTCATAAAAATAATTTCTTCCATTCTTTTATAACCTTTAATTATGTTTTACGTTATGTGTTAAAAAATTTTGTTCAAAAGAAATTAGATCTTTAAAATATAAAGTACACTTTCACTTATGCTGTTAATATAGCTGGAGATAAAAAGCCATTCGTTGCTCTAGGTTAATGTCAAGAACAACAAATTAAAGTTATCGTCTATAATCTTAATGTTGAATGAATCCATATAAAAACGTATTTAAAGCAGTTTTTTTTATATATTAGGCGGTAATAATATCAAGAGCACTAAGGCTCTAAGGCTTAGCAAGGGTGACTAGGAGAAACCTTGGAATTGAACTATGACTACAAAATGTATCCATATCTTAATCAAAAGACCAAACAGCCTATTGTTTGACAAAAATGCCTTACTCCATGACGCTGCTGAAATCCTTCTACGCATACCAAATATCAAGATTGCATAATAGGACAAAAAGACAAGACTAACTGCAAGTAAAGTTCTGTTTCTTACTAGATCTACTACGAATGTACGCATAACGGATACGAGGCATTTGCTTTTTTAAGAGTAGACTTAGAAAAATGTTCATGTAACTTTATAAGGAGAGACTAAGCCATAAGAAATAAAAGAAATAGCGGTTTAACAATTTGCCTAATTCCAGGACATTCATACGGCGACAACCGAGGGATACCGCACTTAATAAACTGTAAAGCGTAATAAATTATGTCAATTAACATAACCAATTAACAACTGATCAAATTTAAATTTACAATTTCAGCAGTTTGTAACAGTAAATAAACCAAAATATATTGCAATTACGCAAAAAAATTAACAAAACTTTATCTTCTGTAAATCATGATACTTATAATACATAATGACTTAATAAAGTAACTTGCATGCTTAACCACCGTTTATATTCTTTGAGTCTAACTGATAACGTTAACTACGCTTAATGATTTCCGAATATTTACGCATTATTATAAATAAATTTAAAAGTAGAATGTATTGCATAGCCATAGCAATCTGTAAATTTTTATAGTACAAAACATAGTACTTTTTTGCATTAATCTTGACTAATTCATGGTTATATTCAAAAGAATATATTTTTGCACTAATTGGACGAAGCCAAGGCATAAATATAGTTACATAAACGTAAAAATTAAAAAATATATAAATACAGTTCCAATCATCATTTGTTCAGCTCATTCGATATGGTTCGGACCTAATGCGCACTCCACAGTCAAACCACGTCATCAATGTTATAGCTTATGGAAACCATAAGCAATGTATGTCTTTATTACCTTCTGAAATAATGATTTCTTATATTGACTTCGACTTTGTAATGAAATTGTTTTGATTATTTACTACATTAAAATTCAATGTTCACACTCAAAAGTTTACGACATCTATGATCGCTTGACAGTATAAGGATATTAGACATACTGACGACGTTGTTAACTCGACTCGACGACTCTGTCTGTTTTTAACACATGCCGTAAGGTAGTTCGGGAACTTTCCCACATGTTGGCACTGCGGATTTTACCTTGACATTTCGAAGTACCCCCCTATTTTATTAATGTAATATTTAAATACCACATGTGTGATCTATTTCAATAAAAAAACCGAACGCATGTTTTAATAATAGTTTCTACGTTACCATTGTGGTAACAATGGCGTCGTTTGTTGCGAAATTGGGAATAAAGGGTGTTACAAGTTACGTGAGCCGCCACCGATGTCACACGAGCCGATACAGATGTTTTAGAAACGAATCATAAACATGCGGGTGCGTTATCGTCATTCAGTCATGTAAGACTCTGGCGTTGTCACGGCCGCAACCCCATCGATATTTGAGACTTCGCTATGACTGAGGGCTCTGTGGTTAAACATTTTTTTTCTCTTCGGCCAATGACCGGTCTGCCAGCCTGCGAAACTGAATGCTCTGAGGTAGTCACGTGCTCGGGGCGAGGCGCGGGGAGAGGTTGGGCTCGCAGGCGAACCTTCTCTTATTAGATGCACACTCGCCGCGTCATAAGTGTAAAGCGTGCACGGCCGGACGGCATGCCCTGTGCACAAGTATTCGATACGCCCGCATGCCGATATTTAGTAGTAGTTAATTAAATATTAACATAGTGCCATGAAGGATGTCTCACAGTAGCCTCAGCTGTCACTACGACAGTTATCTTCCTTCAGATTCATCCCTAGAGACAGATGCACTTAACCGGCATTGGTAAGTTTTTACTATTTTCTACTCCAAAAATTTTAATAAACATTCATTAAAGGTATAAAAACAATTTTCTCACTTTGTAATTATATTAAAAATAATTATTAGACAAATGATTTCTGTACGATAAATTCCAAAAATATATAAACAATCGCCGTAATCGGGTAAAAATTTAATGTTTTACTTAAATGTAATGGGATTTTGCTTGATATTTCCTTTTCGACATTAATTAATCTAAACGAACTATGGATTTCGTGATATCTATAATCTAACAACGATGGACCATAATACACGTTAATAAGAATAGTCACGTTTTGTTAATCCTCCATGAAAAAAGAAAATACTTGCAAAATCATATAGTTTCATAAGCACGTACTGTCCATGAGAATCGCAAAACACATTCTTATAATGTTATTTTTATAAAGATTCTAATATAAAATGGAATAAATAAAACTATATACACAACATGCACACGTATTTGTCTCGAATAAGACCTGTCCCCAATGGACGTCAACAGAACCGCACCAACGAACATACTCATGGAATCATGTCATATAAGTGTTTCTTTAAGTCATACCAAACCGTTCACAATCCCAGTACGCATAAACATTGACCCACTAAGCCGCGTAGATTTCCACCGATACAATATTATGCCACGCACTCTCACCTTCCAATATGCACAATTAACCCATAGCTTAAGGCTTCTTTCGACAGCCGAAATTAAATCAAATTATTCAAACAGAAAATAGAGAGACAATACTAATTTATTCACATCATTCCGAATTTATTGAATAAAAGCATTGAACTTGATTAATGTCTAATTTATTCGTGATTTCTGATAGCAGAAAACAAAAAAAATGTAAACAGCGGCAGACTTAAACAGCATAGCTTATTTAAGGAAACCTATGAAATAAAACCTGTCTGGAAACCGGCGGAAATGAACTTGGTCTACTAAAAGGTTCTTAGTAGAAGTTAGTCACCTTCAAAGTCACATAATACGGTCATTTATGGGCAAAGTTGTTCAACCTTAAGCAAATACAGGGTCCGAGGTGAATAGAAATCGTGAGAGCTACCCTTGAATTTTTAATTAACAATTTGTACTTATTGATCTATATTTTATAAATAAGACCGACTATATTCTTTACGTTTAAAAATAATGCTTAATTTTTCATTAACTCTGTTAGATTACTGAATACATTTTGAATGCCTTTAATTAAAATTTTTACTCCAAGTCAAATTATCAAATCAAACTTTCTGATCCAGTTATCGTAATATTGGGCGCACTGAGAAAATTTGGCACAGATTAAGCGTTAATAAGTGCAGAAAGATAATTATTAAATACAATAATATGCGTTAAAAATAATAAAATAAAATATAACCAGTGAACGCAAATAAAAAGTGGAAGCATTGTTACTCCAAAATGGCATAACGAAAATTGTACTGTGATGATTAGGGCTTATAAACTGTACCGCGGGGCGGTTTTAGTTAAGTCCTGTCCAGGGATGACTTCTTACCCCCTTGTACGATGATGACACAGAAGAACTTATTGCAAAATCGTTCAACGGACTTATAGCATAAATAATTTTCTATTTATTATTTTCTATAAATATTTATTTATGTATATAATATATATATCTAAGTACATCACACTTTTATTTATGTAATTAATGGTCACGGTACAGGCGTATTCGCCTAGTGTGAACACTGCGGTTAGTGAACGGTTTTGGAAATGTCTCAATAGCATTCTAGCTTATGAGCGTATTTTTGAAGTCTTGGTAAAGCATCCGATCACTTTCGTGTCTCTCTAATTGAACAGTTTTCTTCCATTGTTCTCTTCGTTTAGGGTTTTGTGGGAATCTAAATAGAAAAGGAAACGAACAAGTCACATCCCATCACGGTACAGTTTTCTTTATGCCATATTGGAGAGACAATAATGATTCCGTGTATTTTTTTGCGTATAATGGAAATTGAAGAAATAATTTATAAAAAACTAATTTAATTGTTGAATTCTTAATAATTGCCAAATCTTAGAAAGTTACCTATTTAAGAACAAGCTCCGGATGCCGCAAATTTTATGTTATTAAGCTGAATTTTGCTCACAGGAATGCCAGAGTGTCAGCACAAGCAGAAGGGCCATCGCGCCGAAAGAGCAATCTTCACAATGCCATGGCGGCTGAAATGGACTCATCATGGGGTACGAATTAGACGTTAAGATTTAGGATAATAAATATAATTTTTGAATTTAACACATAACTTGAAAACATCCTTTACGATACACCAAAAACAATTACTTCACACGTGTATGTGGATGTTCCCTATGCCGATATTCAGATCTAACTCATTGATTGATTCACCTAGTTCTAAGCATCAAATTAAGAAGAGAGGAAAGGTATTATTCTTTATTAAAAAAAAAAATTAAAAAAAATTATCTTTATTCACATAGACGCTTGCGCGTTCTTATGAAACGTCAAAATTTTACAAGAAATTAACACGTTCTAAGCATCAAATTAAGAAGAGAGGAAAGGTATTATTCTTTATTAGAACAAATATTGAAAGTAATTGTGTTGCCCCATGAACGGTTAAGTAACGTAGTTAGAACGAACAAATATTGAAAGTAATTGTGTTCGGGTTAAGTAACCGAACACTATATATGTACATGTATGTGTGTATCTATAAGGCCAACAAATTCGTAATATAACGACAGTGTACCACTAACTCGCGTCGGCCGGGTGCACCGAACATTACCGACTATAAACATTATACTTAAACTAACATTAACATATAACATTTTAACATTAAGAACATTTTGTGTACTTTAAATAAACTATTTTAATATTACTTAAACTTTATAAATAACATTACCGCAACCTCACTACCGCCACATAAATTGAAAAATCTACAAATTTTTAAAGGAATTTTTGAACGAAATTTCATTATTTGCCTATTATTAGGACACGTTTAATAAGTTTCTTTGAGAAAAAATAATTGTGGCCGTCAATAACGAGAGGAATAAAAATTAATGAGAGAAGGTTTTAAAATAATCTATGTGAAAATAAATTTTTCAAACATGAAGTTAAGATATATATGTCATTGTCAGAATAACGCCAGTTTTTAAGATTTTTATCTACGCAAAGCCTGATTTCTTTTAATTTTAATAACCTCTTAGGGAATCATCCTCGGTAGGAATCGGTTTTCTTTTGCAAGGAAGAGACAGATAATGTTTGGGGCGACTTAAAGAGTCTTCGCAGACTATTAGGTCTTCTGTTTTACGTCAGCTTTTTGTTCCTTTAAGTAGTTCTTTAATTGCTTGTTTCTTTTTTGTATAAGTGAGCCCACATGCATAATCAAGCTAGACACTACTTAATCTTTGGATGGTAAAAATTGACTTACAATTTACATGTCTAAAGACATGTAAAATGTTTTAATTCAAGCGCGCTTCAAGATGAAACCAATCGCCTCATCGACTCTTCTTAAGAATGGTTAAACGTCAGATATTCACTTCACCGTGGCTGATTTCAGTCGTTCACTGTGACTTTGACGCAGTGTTATGTTGTCAAGCAAGTTCTGCGTGATGCAACTGTAAGTCAGAGGCCAGATGTTCCTTGTCACAGATCCCTTGTGCTCTCTTTAATAAAAATCTACCCACAAATTTCTTGAAGCTCATTTACTAGATATGATTCGTGAGATGTTTAAATTAAATCAATAATAAAATCGTCAAAATCTTGCTCTCTTCACAATTATAATCCCATTTATAGTAATAACGGGGTACCTATAATAATTATTTTATCTTATGATACACCAAAAAATAAAAAAGTATTAAATACGAAATATTTATCAAATAATTATCATCATAAGGCGACCTTATTGCTACACAGCAATTTCTTCCAGGCAACATCAGAAATTTACCAAAAGGAGTTGTTAAAAAAATAAATAAAAACAAAACATTTATACACCATTTTTAGTAGTAAAATCTTAAATAATTGTTCAAAGCGTCTTCTCATCAGACTTTGTAAAATATAGCAGCAACAATGAGAGGTACCTGGTAGCCCATTGTCTTCACCATATACCTCTATGTAAAATTTTTGCTTACATAGTAAGTAGCCGTTCAAAACACAATATTTGAGTAGTCATGCATACTTTATCGATATATTATTCTCTTTTAACTTGGGTTGGGATGTAAACAAGAGTTGGTTATTTTCTATTATTATATTCTAGTACTACCTCTAGAAAAACTAAGTCTTACTAAGATAATTTAATTACTTGAATTTTAGATGATTTTTTCAAAGAATCATTTTACTATGGCTTGTTTCGTGGATAAAGAAAATAATTATAACGATATCGATGACAATACATTCTTGAACCATTAATTACAAAATTAAAGGTTCAAGAATGTATTAATATGTATTGATATCTACTAATGAAGACAAAAGAAAGGCATTTAAGGATACTTATAAATAATTCATTTTTTACGAAATCCACGTGTCGTGATGTAGCGAGTAATGATATCGATGATGCTACTAACATGTGATGATTATCGTAATAAAAATCAATAAATTTGTTCTCCGACTTAGGCGAAACTAAAAGTAAAACGTTTATTTTTGAAAAGTGTATAAATATAAATATACTTACTCAATTTATCAATTATCATTGTTTCAATGTTGTCAAAATTCAAAATTGTCCTGGAATAACCGGTCTTTAAAATGGATTGAACATATTGTTCAGTTAACAATAAATGCAGCTATATATATTTTTTTCACTTATGTATAGAAATAATAATATTTAAATCTGCTACGACGCGAGAAATAAGTACATCCGCAAATTACAAGGGTTTATATTTTGCCATTGTTTGAAGCATTAATAGCTGTAAAAGATATATTTATCATATTCGGTCAGCCTGTGAAGATTGAATGATTTTTGTTTATGTACAATAAATAAATGAATTATTAGATTAAATAAACTACAAAAAAGTGAAATAAAATCAGGGGTTAAGGGTGATTGGTTGCTTCATCATAACAACCTCAAAAATTATAAAAAGAAATACAAGAAATTTATTATGGGAAATTTAAAAAATTCTGTTACTTACGTTATATGAATCGCTTCTTACTGGGAGCGGAACTTATAGCAGTATCCGAAGCCCTTTCATATCCTCCGTCTGTGGAACAGGACAATATTGTCATATTTACAGACTAAAAGGGCAATCCACTATCTGGTTCGACGTACAAGATACAGCAACAGCCTTTTTAGTCTTTGACATTGTGATATGAACTTCTAACTCTGCTAAGTAACGAGACAGGAGATATATAAAACTACTATCGGAGTCAGCAAGCGTGCTTTATTTTTCGCAGATAGTATTTGCTATATTAAAAAAATATCAGGTTATAAGGAATGAATACTTTGATGAAGGTTCCGAAGGAAAATGTAATTACTACAGAACCATTCAACAATTATCATTCTCATTTCTCTTAGGGAAAGTTCCCTCCCAAAATTGTCATTATTGCGAAGTCATGATGAATTGGAGCATATTTTTATGAAATGTGTTTCTTACGACTATTTCACAAAACACAGCGTGCAAAAATATATAAAAATAAAGTCTAGGCAGCAATATCATACTCTCTAATTTACAAATTAAATAAATAATATGTAAGTTCAACTGAAAACAACATTATATACAATGTTGTTTTCAGATAAGTAAATATATCTTCAGATAATAAATATACATATATCTTATTAATAAATAATCTTTAGCAAATTTCTGTCTTTTTCCACTTAGTATTCTATGTTCTTTAAAGAGCGTAATAATCACAACATAATAAGTAACCACTCGATGTCTAATCTATTTGATGCCTGTTAGCTTAGAAGAGGTAATGTATCGACTTTGCCACCCGATTTCGTACCATAAATTTTCTGCCACCATTTCTTCGCCTTAATCTCGCAATTAACGTGTAATTTTGGCGATGTTATTTTTTACTTTTACGTTATTAAATTGAAAAATTGTTGTCCCTATACTCTATATTCGAAACTTTTGACATAAACCCTATCCTATGCATGTTTATTTCACCATTAAGTCCTAAAAATGTAGTAATTGAATACTGTCATATCAGGATTATTCTGTTATTAATTTCTTAGTACCAAAGCATTTAAAAGATACGAGTATTAAGTAATAGCTAATCAACTTGACCAAAAATCATACTGTAGCTTCCTTTTTAATTAATTGAATTATTGTTTACTATATTTAAAAATTATTTTTTCATTATTTAATTTTATAACTTGCAAGATACTTCTACTTCTGATTTAATAATATTCACCAGGTTATTAACAACAGTTTTCGTTAATGTAGAATAATTTAAAGTCACAATAATGTTTTGAATCGTACCGAATTTACAATTTTTCCGTATAACTAATATTTAAGATTCATTACAAAGCACTAGTAATTCATTTCAAGGTAACAAATGAACATTAATTATTTTCACCTGTTCTTTCCCATTGGCCAGATCGATTGATATTTCTAACTCAATATTACTGTTACCGTAGACCGTCCGGCACACATCGAAGGCAGATATAAAAAATACTCGACAACTTCTTCCATTTATTCCAAGAAAGCCCAGTCTCATCAAAGCGAACATATTGAAAGGTACGTTTTCTTTTTTGTTTATAAATGATACAAACTATTTAATATTACTTTCATTTGTACAAAGCTTTATTCTTCTTTATTGATTTAGTATTCCTAACTATTATTAAACCTAAGTGCATAACTTTTAAAATTTTGCAAGACTCTGAATGCACACTATTAAATAAATAACAAATAAAGTATGATAATTACACAAATTTTCCTTCATTTTTTCATTTATGCTGTCTCTACATTAATTTTTCTTTTTTTTATGTCTACTTTTCAAAATAGGACAAGGTGCGGCGTGATTTTACCGTGAAACTTTTTTAAGAATTTTGTAATAGATGATAATAGTAACATAGAAAATATTTAATAACATTGAAGCATAATTGAGAAATCTTAAGATTACTAAAAATTTACCAATGTCAGACAGTATTTATACAAAATTCATTACAATTCTAAATAGTACGTTTGTGTCATTCATATTTTCTTCCTCATTACTGATTTGTGATACATTATAATATGTTATAGCAAATTATTGAACTTAGCTCCAAATGCATAATAGTATTTTAATCCTCAAGTGTACAATGTACTCTTATTTTCATCGCAGATCCTGGTGGTACGCCTGTTGTCAGAAGTGTCATCAAGAAGAATCCGGAGTTCCTTCCTGGGAACCCCCATATTGGCAAAAAATTTGTCCCTATCCATTATGTCCATCGTACAGACATGTTGCTCAAACCCTGTCTGTATTCTTAATCGGTAAATTTCTAAAATTGATTCATATAACTAATAAAACTATTTTTATGCCACTCTTTCCAAAATGCCATGCGTACATGGCATATCCATCAACATTTTACAAAATATATTATTGACTATTGAAATTGTTATTAGTAAACTATACGGTAACTTTATTAGAACAATGCAGATTCCATTGTTCTAATAACACACTTCAAAGGACTGATGGAATTCGTATTGAATAAAATTATATATATTACTAACACTGAATAAAAACTTTGAATTGATAAATTTTAAAAAATCTATTAAATCTTACATTTTATTTCTTATATTAATGGACTTAATGTTGATTTCCAGGTGTCTTGGTATGGGTAATAATATGGATAGTGATGGGCAATACAGCAGCCCCTGGAGGACAATTATTTACATTGGCTGTTCTTACAATTGCCGCTTACTTTGGCGGCTGGATTATGGTCAAAGTCACAACGCTGCCAGCTCTTATAGGCATGTTGATAGTAGGAATTGTAATGAAGAATATAGGATTTGTAAACTTTGATGAAAACTATCTCCACGTCTGCTCGTATATCAGGTAATATCTTTTATATTTAAACTTTATATTCACCCAAAACATATTGACGTTTTTCAACTGCACCTTTTTACAACAACTGAAGATATTAATTATGAATGTTTATATTACAGAAAAATAGCTTTAACAATAATCTTAACCAGAGCCGGTTTAGATCTGGATCCGGTAGCGCTGAAAAAATATTTCTTAACTGTTATCAAGCTGGCTTTAATACCCTGGACTTTTGAGTGCGTGCTATGTGCTGTTATGGCTAACTTACTACTTGGCTTACCATGGGACTGGGGTAAGTTGAGAGCAGACAAATTAAAATAATTAGCGTTTGTTACTTTTTATGAAAAGATGTTTGTCAATATTTTATAAGATTTTTTAATTGTATTGAATATTAACATAGTGAGCAGACACCTATTATTATATCTGTACTCGTCTTAAACCAAATATGCATATTCCATATTGTAGTACCCAGAAGAATTAAAGACAAAATTCAATCAACTTGTGTCTGAACTTAGGGAAACGAATGACAAAGCAAGAAGTGCTCTCTCGGGTCAATACATTTTGCGTGATTATTCCGCCTTTTCCGGGATGTATATTTTAGAAAATCCATAAACTTTTCAGCTTTCTTGTTGGGATCTATAATAGCGGCCGTGTCCCCTGCCGTTATCGTGCCGTGTCTGTTTAGACTGCGTGGAAAAGGATACGGTGTGTCGAAAGGCATACCTACTCTGGTGCTGGCAGTGTCTGGTGTCGACGATGCCGCCAGTGTCGCCGTTTTCGGGATTGTTTCATCAATCATGTTCGCAAACTCTTCTGTCACAATGAACATCATACAGGTGTGTGTGTTTATCTAAAAAAATGTTTTTAGGGTTCCGTACCCAAAGGGTAAAACGGTACCCTAATCTCACGAACCGTGGAAGTTAGAAAGTTGAAATATTCACAAATGATGTATTTCTGTTGCCGCTATAAACAACAAACACTAAAAAAACAGCATAAAACATATTTAAGTGTGATTCCCATACAACAGACATGGTTTTTTGCTGTTTTTATAGAACCCTTCGTGCGGGAGTCCGACTCGCACTTGGTTTAATTATTATTATTTTTATTGAAAATTGGCTATTTCAATTTGGCCAACTGACTACAATAGATCTTCCAGGTCGCAGTGGTCATTGAGACTTACTACGGAACCCCTTCCACGCGAATCAATCATAGGCCAATTTCAATTTTCAATTTGTTGCGTGAAATTAATGTATATCATTGCTGTATCATTAACATAATATATTAATATGTATGTTATTCACATACTTTATTATGTATATTTACATTATTTTAATTTAAATAAAATGTATTTTCAGGGGCCAATGAGTGTTATTGGTGGCATAGCATTTGGTGTGTTCTGTGGATATCTGGTTAAATACATTCCGGAGAGAAATGACGCATTCTTAGTCCCCTTGCGGGTTCTTCTGCTACTTGCTGGAGGTCTTATGTCCGTTTTGGGATCAGAAGAAATTGGCTGGGGTGGAGCTGGTAAGGCTGACATTTTTTTATATTATTAGGGTAACGAATAAATTATAAAAGAAGAACATTAAACATAAACTTTCATTTGTTGATTGAAGTGAAAAACGCAAAAAGGATATTGCGATTGTCATCATCAAAAATTGCAGACGCCTTTCTTGTGAAACGATAATCCAGCAAATCGCTTTGAGCCAATAGTTCCGAGTATTATGGATTGTTTTCTACTGTATCATGAGAGATTTTTACACGAACAATACGCTGTTGTTACTATAAAAATCGATCGGCAATAAAAAACGAAGAAATCAAAGGAGTTACTAAACTGTTTACAATTACTCGTCTACCCTACAATCAATATGAAAGCTATATTACATATCCGAGAAAAATACGATTACAAATTAATTTATTGTAACATTTGTTTATCAGTGAAAACAGATCCAGAATTCATAGTGTTTATACTTACGTCAACCATGTGATCGTTTTTTTGACAAAGTTCTGCACAGTACTACAAGCTGGCAATTTAAAACCTTTGCACTTATTTTTTTACGAAAAGAATTTTACCCTTAAAATGTCAATAATGTACGTATAGTGGTTCAACCCATTTACGCGTAAAATTCACTCTTAATAATCGTACGCGTGGCGATCCTATTCTCAAGGAAATCATTCGGAACTTGAAATATACATTTTTTTTACTATTTCGAATATATGTATGTTTCCAAACGATGTTTTCCTACACCCTCAGCGGTGTAGGAAAACAACGTGATAATTCAGAATTTAAAATTAGTAAATTCATTGGTGCCGACACCGGCACCAGGATTTGAACCTGGGTTACTCGAGTAATATTAAATTAAAAGCTAGCACCCGAACACTGAGCTATCACGGCTGTAAACTAATATAAAAACAAAGTAGTACATTTTGTTAACGCTCATTTAAGTAATTATATAATGAACAGATGCAGTTGCTAAGCCATTGGCCACGGCGATTGTGCCTATGGGTTCCATTCCCACACGAGACATATATTTTTATCTCCCAGAGATAATTTTTTCTCATCTGGGTGTTTGTTCCCAAGAAGGGTTGACGTCAGGCAACACATGCACGTAAATCATGTTATCGATTCTATTTGTCTCTTATTAAGAGCAGAACCTGTGGATTTGCCGTAAAATTCCTGTATTAGTTGTTTTATAAATAGATGTTTTTGAAAAATACCATTTTCAAAATTCCACTTTATTTATCATTATGTGTGCTTCTTAATTTAGGTCCATTAGCCGTCATTGCGTTCGGCTTTATTGCCTGTAAAAATTGGGCTGAACAAGGCTGGGAGTTGGAAGACAACCCTGTTGCAACTGCGTTTGAAATTTTCTGGATGTTCTTTGAACCTATGCTGTTCTCTGTCACCGGAGCCCAAGTTGTAGTGAGTACTAGTCGTTGTTTGAATAACAGATGAAGAAATTACGCATATCATAACAGCTTACTTTATGGCAAATAAAACCTAAGAACGATTCTGGTCTAGTTAGGGACTTAACAATTTCGATGAAAACTGCGTAGCTCTTAGCTATTTCAGGCGATTGAAACGACATTAAATAATCACTGTATTGTCACTAGGACCTAACCATATTTATAAATGAATACCTACTTTAATGTGAAATATAATTTTCAATTTAAAACTGGAAATAAATCATAGATAATACTTAGATGATATTTGATTATTAAATATTGCTTAGGCAATAAGCATCAACATTTTTAATATTCTTGTCGTAATTGCTTTATAAATTTTGAGCATAAATTATCGAGTCTTATGTATTTATCGAGTCTTATATATATATCGCTGACTTTCTTTGGTAATTATTTTGTTTTTCGTAGATTGCTGAATTGGATTCACATTTAGTGCTAGTCGGTGGAGGTATCTTGATCACTTGCGTAGTTCTTCGAGCAATGTTGACAAGTGCTTCTGCCGTACGCAGTAATTTAAACATGAAGGAAAAGGTATTCGTTGGACTCGCGTGGATGGCCAAAGCAACTGTTCAAGTAAGTATTAATAATAAAAGTGTGTGTGTGTGTGTAATATACACACTTGATTGCGTTACTTAAATATCCATTATATTACACACATACACAATTAAAAATATTTGTCACCAGAAAACTATTTTAAGTTGCTTTAAAGAAGCTTATTTAACAATAATACTTTCAACAATAACATATACGAAACTTTAAACATATACAAAATATTTAATATATTTTGTATAACTTTGAAATAATATAATATAAAGCCCGAATAATCCTTCTTATAAAATAAAAAAAAAACTTTAATGTTATAAAAATCTGCAGCTTATATCATTTTATTATTTATAATAAAAAATATGAAAAAAATCTACTTCTCAATTAATAACGATTAAAATGAATATTTAAGTATCGCAATCATGGCATACATGATGAGTTTTTATATCAAAAGATTAATCGAATCTTCTACACTTCTAAATAATCTTAAATTTATCGGAACATAACATGTTTTGATTCTCCGTATCATGAAATGCCGCCACTATTTTACAAATTTTGTAAAGACATAAGTGTAATAATAACTACCTACGCACAGGCTGCACTTGGGCCGGTGGCACTAGATGAAGTGCGCAAGATGTCGGGCGACGATGAGTCTAAAGCAGAACTTATAAAGTACGCAGAAATCGTCGTCACCGTGTGTATCATGTCCATCGTAGTGACAGCGCCACTCGGCGCCATGGTCATTACTGTAACTGGTCCCCGGCTGCTATCTAAAACCACCAAGCCTCCTGTTTTGGAAGGTGCGTATAACTATATCATAGATTTTTTATTCAGGGCCTTTTTAGTTTTAATGAATTATGGAAACTCTGTAACATTCTAGGAATTCACAAAAGCTAAAATATATTTTATGTTTATAAACGAGTTATAAGTTAGGTTGAGTAGGTACCTGCCCATTAAAACACATAAAAATACATATTTTTTTTTATTAAACAACATAATGCACGCAGACCACATAAGTGTTAAATATCTTGATTGAAAAATAATTTATAGTTAATTATCTGACACTATAGAGTAAGAGATATTTCGCATAAAAGAATATTTTTAATAATAATATAAACGTTCTGGAGGCTGTTTTAATAGGTTCATTTTAAGGTCCACTATTATTGGAAGGGATTACAAGAAAGGATTTGAATTGAAAGACAATTAATTTTGTGGTATATACGAATTGGTTGGACTAGGTCTATAAAGTGTAGATTGCGTGAAGTTCGATGTTGAATAATATTGACCGGAGTTATAATTATTAGCATGTGCACTATTTTTAAAGCTTCCAGTTGTATTGAGGTTATTCGGATATGGCGTTATACTTGAGTTATTTCGATGCGGATACCCATTGAAAGGCTCAGTAAAACCATTACGTGATAAGGTATTATTCTTGCCTCCAGTATAAGCATAGTTGTTCGTTGCATTAAAAAAAATATTATTTGGCCTAGTATTATTTATTTTAGGATATTGAAAAGATTGTTTAGTATTGTTATATCCGAAAGATGGATTTACGGGAATGCTTGGATTTATGACAGAATAAGTGGTACTATTATAAGTAGGGTAGTATTGTAAGGAATTGGGATACCTAGCGTTACCAAACGAATTTATGGACATGTGGTTTTGATTATACGATTGAGTATTATTATTAGTTAAATAATTTACAGTAGACTGATTATCAATTGGTCTTGGGCTCGGTGGATACGTATGTTTAGGATTTGAGTATTGTTGGGAATTAAAAAAGGAGAAATTACTGTTTTTCGGCAACCTAGGATATAGCCCACTACCGTGGTAAGAATTAGAATGATTTCCCAAATAGTTATTTGATTCCTCTTTTATATTATGGGAATACGTTTTATTATTAAGGGAGGAAACATATGAATTATTAGGTGTGTTACTGGATGCAATCTGATTATAAAGTGGTCTTGGACTAGGTGGATACGTATGTCTAGAACTTTGAGAAAAGCTGGGACTGAAATTCGAAACATTATTGTTGTGAGGCAACTGAGTGTATGTTGAGTTATATACAGGTAGGATCGGTCCAGACGTCTGATATCTACTCGTAGTAGTATTTGGATTAAAAGTACTAGGGAAATTATTAAAGCCGGGATAATTTCCAAATAAGTTATCTGGTTGTTTTCGAACATCACTCTGAAGTGTTGAATTTATTTGCTGCTGAGCGTACGCAGGCGGCCTTTGATATGACTTGTAATGTCCTGTTTGCACTTGTCTAACTGCACGATGTCTATCAAGTATCACGCAGAGTTTATTCCAACATTTCTTTGCTTCATTGATGTACAGAGAGTTATCTTGAGTTTCTTTTGAATTGAGTACATCAGAAGAAAGTTTTTTATTATGTATTTCACCATAGTCCAATAGTGGTTTTGGTATCGCATTCATATCTTTATTAAGCTTCATATTCTTTTGATCCATTTCCACTTCATTATTTAAACACTCCGATCTTACACTAAATGTTAATATCAGAAAAACAGTTAATAGCGAACAACGTACCGCTGCCAAGCGAGTCATTTTGTCAACTAAATTGATTGTCAACACAAATGACGTAAGCGAAATGTACTTTGACCTTCATATCTCTACCAGTACATGACATTTGTTTCATTTTATCTTAAATTCATGTGGGATACAATTTCATATGCCGAATATTACGATCATTTATAATATAAATATTACGATACACTTTCATATCTAAGTCGTACTTGAGACAGGTATTGGTTTAATTTTAATATACCAGTTCAATTCAAATTAACTGTGCATAGAACATAAGAATTGAATTATTTTTACTTTAAATTGTTATGATATGGAAACAATAATATTCGACGATCTCTTTTAGGTTGGCGGAGATCGCACCGGCCGTCTATCCGAGACATATCCATCATCGACGAGGAAGAGGTTGCTGAACGCGAATGCGAAGCTGACTCCTCACCGGAAGTCAGTCCCGCGGCGCCGAATGCCTACAATACATCAACGCCAGCACCAGTCCCAGTTACAGTACAACCGAACCATCGTACATGACTACAACTAACGTAAAGCACGCCCGTTACCGTCCATCGTACTTATTCATTCCGCAAATTTCGACAATAGCAACGAGCAACTCGTTACAAAATGGATACACAGCAATTATCGTCGTGTTTTTTTCTATATGGGATAACATGACAAATGTTGAGCACAGTCAAAGGTTCGTGTGTTTCTATGTATAATTATTGTATCTAGTTTTAAATTTGAAATGAACTTGATAGTACTGCGAGTACTTAATGTTAGAAATCTAAATTAACAAAATTAATTTGGCAAAGATTTATTAAAATACATTATTAACTCAGAAGCTACAAATATGGGAGGCAATATTCATTGTGTATTAGTAGATATTTAATTGTGATAATGTGTATACTTAATATTTAATGGCTTAGAATAGACCTCGCCCTTCACATTTAGATAAGGTAATGTTACCAATTTAAAAGTATTATTTACTATTAGTAACTATTTGTTGCAATTATTTGTTATTCACGTAGTTCTAGATTTGTAGCTTATAAATGAGATCAGTATTGTTGTGAAATCAGCATTAAACTTAATTTAAATTTTAAATTACGCTAACCCGTAATTTAAGGATTATGAAATTGAAATTATTTACTTAAGAACGTAACATTTTAATGGGCAGTTCCTTAACAGTTTACTTTAAACTTTGAAAATTTTAATCTTAAAATGTATTATATAACAATCTTATTAATTTAAGAAAAAAATACATATAATTAGATAAAACATTTTTTATCTTATAATTATTGGGACCAACCAATTATTGAGATGTATATATAATTATTATATCTTTGTGTTGTATTTGATACAAATGAAAAAAGAGTAAATGTAAACCGAATAATATTTACGAAAAGTTATATAAAAAATTTATAATTAATATTGTATTAAGAATATTTTTGGGTGCATTACTGAGTCATTCTGACCAAATGTTTTATCTTTTTAAAGAATCAAATACCCTTCACTTTATATTAAAAATTGGACTATGTTACGATTTTTTTATCAAAAAAGTAAAGTGCAATGTTCGAGGTGCACATGTTTCTTTCCATATAATTTGAGCGAATACTCTGAATTAAAAAAAAATACTCTTAATTAATCTTTTATTTATAATCCCCGATTATTAATTAAACCTGAAACCGACAGGAATTAGTACAATAGTGCATTTCTTTGGATTCGAGAATCGTTTATTTAATGTGAAGAGAATCGTTTATTTAGTGTGAAGCGAAGGAAGTTTAGTTTAATTATTATTAACTTGTAATATATTACACATCATAAGAAATATAAATTAAGTTATGTGATTTTTTTTATCGAGAACTTTTACCTTCGAATATCTCCGTTGCATTCGGACGCAAGGACAGACGTGGGGATTATCGGGTGTTAAGAAGTGTCGAAGCTAATCTCTAAAAAAAATGAAGACAAATCATGCGCTTTGTTATCCGATGACAGCACATGCAGACAGGAATTAGGTTTGTTATTGATCATATAAAAACAAACGAGAAAACTCAACAATTAAAGAACGTATTACGTAGGATTGAGAATCTCGTAAAGATATAATCTCTCGTCCAGCAGCTGGTATACATATCTAGAATGAAGAAATCGACGTGAACAACTTCCTATTTTAAATGTAAAGAGACAATGCCTGAGTTTTTAGCTCATCTTATCCTTTAAACGAGCAATTCTTGTATATATATATATATATATATATGTAATCGGAATGTCGGAAACGGCTCCAGCGATTTTCATGAATTTTAGTATATGCGTAGATTTGGGGGCGAAAAATCGATCTAGCTAGGTTTCATTTTCAGAAAATGTCCTTTTATCCCTGTTTTCAGGGAATGAAAAATATTATTCGAATATGACGGTAAATTTCGCCGCAAGAGAAAATGTCATAATAGCTCGGACGGTAATCGGGCGGCTCCAAAACAGAAGGCCGTGGTTCGCGTCACCATCATTTACTCATTTATTTTTTTACTTTTTTTTCGATTCCAGATCATTGCTTTCTTTATTTTTAATTTTTTTTTATTTATTTTTTTTGTTATTTTTTCCCTTTTTTTAAAAGTTCTTTCTTTTGAGAAAAACATCAGTTCATATTTTCTTATTATTAAGTCGGTAATATCGAAAAATATTATGCATATTTCATTACTCAGTAATTTGTATCTAAATGTAATTTCCAAAATACACGATTTACCAAAAAAATAAACAAACCGAGCAAAGCTCGGTCCTCCGGGTACTTATAATAATATAAACATGGTTAAGACTGTTTCAATCACAAGTTATGCTTGAATTCGTCTTCACGTAGTAACGTGTAGGTGGCGTCAATATACTATGTTTGAGAGTAACATAACTATTTTTTTGAGAATATTCCTAACTTACTTCGCTCACACCAATCCCTCAACAATCATTCGTGTTTCAGTGCTCGTCAATGCGCAAATTATCGTTTCTACTTTTTCTTACTCTTCGCTCTTACCAGTTCCTTTAACAAGTTCTGCCAGAAGGTTTAATGAAGGCCTGTAGGTGTAAAACCTGTGGGCTTTCTTTTAAAATAAAACAGTCGATGCGGAGTTGTGTAAAATAGATCATCAACATAGAACAGCAATTGTTCGACTCCATTTACCAAAAATTCAATAAATTTGGCTAACCAAAGATCGATTTATTTGCAAACAGAATAAACGCAAAGCGTGACACGTACATATCAAGTATCAATCTTTGTATCAAGATCTAAAGGATTAGATTGGTTTGGAGTCAAATTTTATAGGCTTTTTTGACTCTGCAAAGGGTGTATTGTTGCCGCCTTCTGGCCCAACCGTTCTTAGCATTAATTAATAAACTCTTCAAGTTATCAACACCGTAATATTAGTAAACATATTATAATTTATTATTTCACAATATGAAAAGTGCATACGAAAATTAGCCTGATTGCCGAATTCTATCTTCTCTTTATGATAATTCTGTGAAACAATATTAGTTCTGTATGCGCAAATGGTATAACTGTTGTTTTAAAAATAGTAGCAGTTAGTTTTATTCATATATATCTAATTTTTTTAAGCTCTTATTAAAAGGACAAGGAGCATTATACGGTACTCTTAATTCTACTAGATTCTCCAGACCTTTGATCGGTCATATCTATGCCTTGCGAAGGTCGTTAAAATTAATTTACCTATTAGCCTTAGTAACCGGTCACAGAATTCTAACTATTATTGATAACTAATATAATCAGATGAAGTTAGAATATAAATACCATTTGTAATTAAAAATTCACGTATTGGGTGCCAACAGCCAACTCTCAAACTTCCCTTCAGCCGAAGCCTTGTGCTGTGTCAAAGCTATATAAATGCCACAACATAAAGCCTTCACGTCAGGCTAAAAGAAATATTCATTAGTACAAGGTGCCCACATAAAATTCCCCCCCAAACTCTAAGCCTACATGTGTCCTATTGCTGGGCAACAGCCACCTATTTATACAGGGTATTAGGGCATAGTCCACCCCGCGATCCCACGACGGAGTGACGGACAACTAAAACATGATTGAAACGTGCAATAGGTTAGGAATGCCCCCAAAAATTCTCAAATAGTGCATATTTACTGAACCTACACGTTACTACAAGAGTTAAATACTAATCAATACGGTTGAAACCTTCGTATAATTATACACATACAAGTTCGCTTAAAAATTAATTAACCACAGTACGAGGCTCTGAATATCTACCATGCAAGCATCAAGACCATGAGATATATATTCTATCATAATCTGAAAGTTTACCAAACATTATGAATTGGCTAACTAGTCTGGAAAAGTGTTACGGCTTCTAAGACGACCGGCCTGAAGTGAAAGCATTAAACTACTGCGTTCCGTCTGGTGAGTGGGGTAACCGGGGCACTCTTTATTAGATAGTGGCCAAGGAATCTGCAATTCTACTTGAGTTCTGTGGTGGAAATCATCGGCGGTAAAGTTCACCGCCAGCTCGCTTACCATCTCAAATAAAAAATAACATGACAGAAGACTTACGTAAAGTGGAAGTATCTACAGATATACTTAATTGTTTTATTTCGATCACTGTTTTAAAACAGTTTAACTTTTATAACACACTGTTATAACTGCTTCACTGGGTGGATGAGGTCAACGGCCTTCATAATTTTATGTTAATACTTCAGCGTAGTTAACGTCTGGTGCACCGCCTACTCATTTGCCAGTTTCATACAAAAACTGAACTTTTTTTTTAGCTATTTCAACTTATATGTTGTTATCGAAAAAATTCGTAAGAATTTTTTTTGAACATAACAGGGGTAAACACGACATGTTTAATACAATATTATTTACAAAATGAAAGGGTAGGCTGCACACAAACTATAAGCTAAAGTAATTTTTAAGTGTGTAAGACTTTACATTGAAGCTTTTATAATATTTTATTGAAGGTACTAATAAAAAATTACTGTATATTTTTCGCTCATCTATATATATAAAAATCAATTGCTGTTCGTTAGTCTCGCTAAAACTCGAGAAATGCTGGACCGATTTGCCTAATTTTTGTTTTGAAATATTTGTGGTACTCCAGGGAAGGTTTAAACGATGAGAAATTATGGAAAAACTGCATGGAAAATGGAAATGGCAACAATTTTATTTTCCCATACAAACTGTACCTGTCAACCTGTCAATTCCCTAGAAATAATTTATATGGCAAAACGACGTTTGCCGAGTCAGCTAGTAAAAAATAAAAATTATTACAGATAAGCCCTTCAAAATAATTTTATTTCGATAAATAATCTGAAAATAAAAGTATAATGGAATGGAAAATTTATTGTTCACTAAAACTATAAAACTATTACAGTATACGTTGAATAACATATTTTTAACTTAATTAAAAAAAAAACCGATCTCTCCAAAGTAGAACCTAACAGAAGTCAAAGAATAAATCTAAGAAAAAACTTGTAGTCAAGTTATTTTACAGACTTCGTTTCAATAACGCATAAGCATTGCAAACATATTAATATATTTCTATTCAACTGTGGCGCTGAATTTTATTTATACCACAATTAAATGCAGTGTGATTCAGCTTTTATATAAGATTATTAAATGTTAATTAAAAAATTAATAGATAGTATTTTAATTAAAATACTTGTAAAGTATTAAAAATGGTAATGGATATTATGAAAGCTAACTTTCATATAAACACATTTAGAAAACTTATTTTAAATCTAACAGCCAAAAATTATAATAAAATTAATACATTCTTAGGTTCTTAAAACAAACTAACCTATGACTAGATCTATATTTGGATTACTTTAAATGTTGCTATTTTAAGCGATGGCGTAACCTCGATACCAGTACGTAATATTAGCTTCCAGATTTTTTTTAATCTAAATAACATGCGTTTACAGAAACCATTCAAACTTGTTCTTTTAGCAAATATTTCTATGAAAAACATTCAATTACTACTACGAATGCGTACTACGAATTAAAATTAATTCGTAGTACGCATAACATGCATTTATTTTAACATATTACAATACATTTTTAAAATAAACAAAATTTGAAGTTTTGTCTTTATAATTTGTTACTTTTGTTAATACTTATACATAGTATCAATAAGAAACATTAAGGGTGGTATATTACTCACATAAAATAAAAAAAGAATAAAAATCCGTCGCTTTATGAAATATGTTCTTTGACTTGAGTACTTAATTTTTCCTTCCTTTTAACTCCAAATCATAAAAATCAAGCAAACTTATAATTTTAGGAAGAGATTCCGAAGCATTCAATAGGTGAAAAGACTAAATAGCACAGAGATTTCTCTTCACGTCAGCTATATATTATGCTTTTGGGGTATAAGGTACCTATGGTACATTTAATATGTTTATGGTAAAAGTTTTTAGATAGTGTGAACGTGATAGCATTATTTATATATCATCCACTAACATTTCCAAAGCTCTTATATCAGATACAAAGCCAAATATCTAGGACAACATTGACAGTTTTCAATATTTGTTAAGAAAAACTTTAGGTTTATTATTTAATAGAAATAAGTGTTATTCTGGTTATGAGTGTAAATTATCTTGTTACATGAGGAATTCATTTACTCGTATCACCTTATAATGAAATGCAATTCTTATCTTGATCCATGGCTAAGTTTATTACTTAGCGCGGAAGATTACTTGTCTAGATTATGCAAGCGCAATTATTTAAAGCTACTATTTAAACCCAATACGGAACCCCCGTAGCACGCTCTGTTTAGAAAATCCATTCCAGTGACACGTGGCATACATTTCATACAATAATTATGAGTGCTTGAATACATTAATTAGGAGTGCTCGAATACATCAATTAGGAGTGCTTATGGTTATTGGGCAAGGACGTCCGTAAATTAGCGCGTTCATCAGAGCTAATTGTCCTCGACAGGAACGTAGATGAGGTGCGGGCGGAGGAAGTTGCGCCGTTTTTCCGCGCGTCCGGTTTCTCCAGCCCTGTTTATATTAGCTTTAGTTAATGACGTCACTCGATATGGTAAAAAATGAAGTTTAGTAAGCTATGGTGCGCGACACATTAATCACAATGCTAATCAAGAGTAGAGCTCATGATATTATATTTATTTACAACATCAATGGCTGTTACTAACTTAGACACAGGGTGATTTTGTAGACGACGGATATATTAACAGAGCACATGCAGAATTTGATTCTGAATCTGAATCTGGTATGTACTTGGAACCTCATTTCTTTTTTCAAAGATTAATTTTTTCATACATTATATGGACAACCTATTAGAAATTCCTGCCTTACCGTCTCAATACAATAACCTAGCCGCTAATTTCACTGTGCCGTTGCTGTTCGCTGTCTGAAATTGTCTGAATTGTGAGTTCAATGTCTGAAATGATCTCGTCTCAGTGGCCTTCCTTTAGTTACACTTCCTGGTCCTGCGTATACCTACAGACTGGAGACCGTAAGGTGGACTACTTTTAACGGGATAAACAAACAATGTTTGAATTGACATTTTTCTGGTTATTTCTTTTCAAAATAAAATAGAGTTATGGAATGGTATAATTTAATTGAATTGACATAATGTTGTTGATTTAACATACTTAACATAATGTCAAAGTATGTATCCCATCTAAAAAATCACCCTGTTTAGTGAACCAAAAAAAATGGTTCACGTTTATTAAAATCTGTTAAATGAATGTGAAAATAAAGAATGTATAGTGAATACTACCCAACTATTTGAAATAGCATTAAACTTTTTACACCATTTTCGATTGTTATAAAAAATCAGTTATCCACCGAAAAATCTACGGTAATCGAAAGCGTAAATAAAGTAATATGGGTTTGTGTCTGTTAAAGTTCACTTTAACGGCAGACCACTTTTACAAATAAAATGCTCACGAAGCATATGAATATTGTAAGAATACTAGCATCCACGTTACAACACGTAGGTTAATAATGAAAGTAAATTTTAATTAAATAATCAAATAGGCTAATAAGAAAAGCATAGTAAAGTCGCAGTAAATGTGAAAACTATAATATTTAATATATACTTGTGTCAATCGGGGACCGAGAGCAACCTGAAAAAAATTATTCTTCGTCATATCGATCATATAAAATTTCTTTGTTAACATACAAGTTACAGTGTAATGCCTCATTGAATTGATACATAAAATAAAAGCGTCAGAGAATATGCATGCGCTTTTGCACGAATGGGCAGGTCCGTCCGGAGAAGTACCACGACCTCACCGGCGTGAAGCGGAAATGTTATACTTAAACAATTTATTAAAAGGCGATAATGTAACATAACTGCATCTGCATCGCATGTGCAATTCAAAGGTGTTGAATTTTCCTTGGCAACGGTCAACGGTTATCACTTAACATCAGGTGAACTGCCAGCTCGCTTTCTACCTTATCATATAAAAAAAATCTACATTTATATGATTATTTAAATTTTCTATAAAGAAAAGAATTCGCTATAATTTATAGCCAGATTTATCATAATGACACCGTAATTAATGAAATTATTCTATTTGTAATTTTAGTTCTCAAAGTTTCGAATCCATTGCAGTGTTCATTGTTACGGGAGAGACATCATTTATGTAGACGTCTAAATACAAGAAATTGATTATATTATTTATATTATTAATCACAAATTATTCAAAATTTTAAAAGAAATAATAAATGTTAAGAGAAGAGATATTAGCAAACACCATTATCCTTTTGTACTGCGTTACGTTACAAGAATTAAACAAGGATAACTCTTACCTAATCGTTTTTTGATCAAGTAGTAGAGTTTAGGCTTGACGACTAGAATCAGGAAGATAAATACGCCTTGGAGTTCATTAAATAAATCTACTATGGTCCACAACCACAGAGGATGTGTCACGAGGGTAGAGAGCAGCTCCGAAACCCAGCCGGCACCCATCACCACCCACAGTTTGCCAGTTAGCACGTATCTGTCCAAAAAGTTTTAGTCAAAAATTAAGAAAAAAAATCCCGACCGAGCTACACGTTTGTAACAACAAATACTAACTACTCCTCTATTCTTTTTAACTCGGACAGCAAATTGAAATAATGTCCCTATGAAACAACTGAGACAAATCTAATGATAGGGCCACGCAGCAGCTGTTGCACGAATGAGCAGGCTCGTCCGGGTAAGTACCACGACCTCACAGAAGACCGGCGTAAATTGGAAGTATAATACTTTCGTGTTTCGTCTGGTTAGTGAGGTGGCCGGAGCCCAATTTTCTAAAGGTTGTCAACGCATCTGTAATCCTCGGGTTTAGCAGATGTCCATGGGCGGCGATATTCATTTAACATCAGGTGAACCGTCTGCTCGCTTGGCAACTTTTCACATAAAAAAACCTTATAATGTGGTGAAATCCTTCAAAAGTTTTGGGCTATATAGCATGCCAAAGAATTAAACAACCATTCGCTCGGAAAACTTTATTCTCCTTCGGCAGTCGGGTCACTACCCGACATAATACCCGATATAAAAATAGGTCACTACCTATTTTTTGGTATTCTTAATACTCTTATGCCTGACCTATTAAGCGTGCCACCTAAAGTCTTAAGCGTGACCCTTAAGCGGTGGTGAAAACGAAACTAGTTAATTTTATTCAGGTGTCCCTTAAAGTTAGGGATCGAGAGTGAGAACGGGCATTACTCTCTCAACTCAGTCAACTGAACCTACAGAGGTAGCGAATGCTACTAAAATCAGTCTATGCTATCTATGCATCATTATAGTAATGATAATTGATTGCTTTAGCAAATAAATAATAAAGTCAACCCAGAAGTGTCGGAGTACCGCTAAAGACAATCACAGTCCATAAGTTAATAAAAAAAAGAGCGTGAAATACAATCCTACACTTGAAGTGTAGAAATTAATTAATAACTTTACTCACTTCGCTCTGTCTATACGAAAACGTCTTTTCGCACGATCGCCTACGGAGCCAGCTTGTAATCGGTGGACTTCAGACTTGACACGCGCACAATGTCTAGCCGTTAGTATCCACAAGACAAAATTGGTACCCGTGACCACACCCATCGGTATTACGAAGAATATGTAATGCGGATAATCTGACTCCACATTTTGAACTAGAATAAAGAAATAGTAAACAGATTAAGGACTCTTACCAGTAGAACGAGTATATATTAGCGTTGAATAATTATATTTCTTTGTCGAAAGCTGCAATTTATTGAAATGATATCACTGTTGGTAGAACAATTTTATTAGGTATATATTTTGTATAATATTAAAACTGCATTTCATTTTAAAAATATTTACGTAAAAAAATAATATCCAAAAATTTTAAAACATTTTATTAAAGTGTCTACCATATTACAATTTATTTTGCTAGCGAACATTTTATACAGACGAACGCTAAACTAAATTTAGATAGATGATGAGAACATCATAATTAATAGTCCTCCCTAGAACAGATTGTAAAAACATTCCTCTGATTCACATTTAAACTCCCAAAGTACTTCGAAACGGCGTAACAGCGATAAAGATAAAGCACGGGCTTACGTGATCCAAACCAGCAGGCGCCATTGCCGATGTTGGCATCAAGACGGATAGAGACTGGGTATTTGTCTAAGAGGAACATCATCAGAGTAAGTAGCACTGCGATACTCCAAGCGTAAAGGGAGTACCAAATGAAGCGACGTCGCTCCGAATTGCTTTTCCTTAGCGGTTGAACATTTCGTACACTCCTGTTAAAGCAAATAAACATTTAATGTATATGTATATAAACGCGAGAGACCCGAGTAGGTAAAAACTATTTCATTATTCTTCTTCTTTTCGACTCTAAATTGATATATTTTCAACCAGTATTTGGCCACATCCACCGCTACGTAATTGGCTTCAAACGGGTCTTTATTAGTGCAAGAGAAGGGACACAACGGACATTGCTGCAGATGGTCCATAGGTTTGACCTTGCCATAATAACTTATATTGCCGTTGGAGTAACCCCACTTCACTCGGTTATCTTTGCATCTTCCTACACCAGATCGAAGTCTGTTTAGAGACTTCCGAACTGCCCAGGGAGGATCACCACCCGTTTTATATTATTAATACTAAATATTAACACCCATGAAAATCTTTAGGATATTTTAAGGTGTATAGCGAATATGGTAAATGACATAGACATATTTTTATATTTAAAAATACGACATAATTATGTATATCCTTGAAAAACAATAACCCGCACTACACATTCGGATAAAAAGCTCTCTTTTGGTTTCCACTTTATTCATACAACTTTGTCCCCCATTGTCTAGCATCGACAATTTTACGAGAAACCTAACTTTATTATACTTTGCCAGATTTATGACCCATTTCCTTCCCTAATAGTGAGAGCGATAAACATAAAATTTTATTAATCGAGTAACGCTGAAATCTATACGTTGTAACCCTCTGTTGTCACAGGGATTACACGACAAAAGATATGAAAAAGCTCTGCACTAATTAGCTACTTAACATGAGATTATAAGCGATAATAAAAAGCAAACACATTATCATTAACGAGAACATAATGACTAATATATAATAATTTCTTAATTACGTATAGCGTTGTGGACATCGAGTACTGAAATTTCATCATTATCAAACGTTAATTTAAATTAAATTCTCATAAACAAATATTTCTGGCCAATGATTGAATTAACTCAAAGCTTTCTTAAATTATGTGAATGAGCTTTAATTAAAATGGCGTGTTATTCATATAAAATGCTCTATAGAGGGAATGACGTGTTTTAATTAAAGACCCACCTTGTTTACAGCTTGTCTACGTCGCATTTCATTAGCATAAATTGACACAATATTGTTTTGTCTCCGATTAGTGAATTAAAAGTAACTTAATATCTATTTATATCCTTCCTACAATTATTTGAACAAAAGAGATAATAAAATGTAAATAAATTTGTTGTCATTTACGTTCATATAATATACTATAATTCAAATGTTCAGGATCCTTCAATCAACGGAGCCTTTTTATTAATCATTTTTTTCGTCCCTCTATCTCTTCTTTAAGATTACATAATAATTTAATGTTTCATGTTTACACAATAACTATACATTACACTGGTCTGTAATGAAATCCTTCTTTCAATAAAATAAAAATGAATATGATCCGTATAAAGAGTTTAGCATGCTAAATCTATATCTGCTTTTTATTTTGTGCTATCTCGTGTACTTTTTTTTTTAAGTTGATTTTAAATATTTAAAAATTTTGGGATTCTTTACTGTCATTCTCGCGTTAATACAACAATAATCCGTTGAGATTTTATTTCCGCACAAATAAACAGTGTGCACTGATAGAAAGCAAAGAGGATATACCAAATTTTGTTGTTTTATGTGATTGGGACAGTCGCGCAAAAGATAAACACTACAGAGTAAAAAGCTGGCCACAAAGAACGAGTTTGACTTCTGGATCTAAAAATGTAAAGAAAGATCCTTTAGTTCCTAGTGAAAAAAAAATTACTGCCACTTCATATAAAGCTGGATCTTAAAAAAAACTTTTTGAAAGCCAAATGAACAAAGATGGTGAATTATTTCAATACCTGAAAACAAAGTTTCCCCGGATCAGTGTCGCGAAATTATAAGAAGGAATTTTTGTAGGTCCTCAAATACGCGAGCATATGAAAGGCGCAAGTTTTAAAATAAAGTTGAATCAATTTGAAAAAAAAGGGCATCGACCGCTTTTGTAGAATTGTGCCAAAATTTTCTTGGAAATAAAAAAAATAAGAACTATCAGGAAATCATACAAGAACTTCTTATTTCTTATGAGGCTCTAAAATGTAACATGTCTCTGAAAATTAATTTTTTGGACTCTCACTTAGATTTTTCCCACCAAGTCTCGGAGCAGTATCTGATGAACACACTGAGAGATTTCATCAAGATATTTTGCTCATAGAGTGGCGGTACAACGGGAAATGGTCCGAAGCAATGCTTGCAGATTTTTGTTGGTCGATTTGTCGGGAAACTCCATTAGAAAATATGAAAAGGAAAAAACTACTAAGTGAAATGTAAGTAACAATTAGTAATGATATTGTCACATGTGTTTTAAAGTTTTGTAATAGTATACATCGAACATTAAGTTATTAAATTAATTATTAAAATTTCATGTTAAAAATTGTTTTATTAAAAAATTCCATCCCAAAAAATATATACGTGATATATAACTTTAAATGCTATACTTATATTCAGTATTATTATATCGGTCATGATAACTGCATAACGTTTGAAGGAGAGAAAAAAAAATGTTTGCAGACCAGTGTTATTAAATAAATTTATATTTAAAAAATATTATCGCGTTTAACTTTTAAAAATATTAGGCTTATTCATCGGTTTTCCATAGTCTCAAATCGAAGAATATTTTATTAAACGCGAAAAGCATAACAAGTTATGTAGAGTCTTTTGTCCTTCATTTTCCTTTTCTATGTCACAGCAGATATTACAAATGACAGATGTCTGTAGTAGTGAAAGTATCTGTAGGCGTTAATCACCTAAAACACTGGAGCAATTGAGGGAAATAAATTAGCCGCGGTGACTTCGCCGCACCCTACCATTTTATAACCAATAATCAATGGAAGTAATTTGTTTTTGATTACAGTGTTCATTGCTCAATTAGGATTTTTGTATGAAAGTGAAGGAAACGAAAGAACATAAAATATATAAAGTACGTTCAGAAACTAGCTATACTAAAACGTGTTTAATAAGAATTTATATTCCGATAAATGGAGGTACAACAAGTCCAAACAAATAATACTACACAAACGGTCCTGTTCGAAGCATACATGATGCCGTTTAAAAAAAATTATAATAGCGACCGTTATTCAGAAATTCATTATTCACGCAAAAGTAGTACCGTTGAACATCAGTAGTACCTACATCAATCTATTTCACATTTCATTTAACGTTTAACGTTTGTTTTTTACATCCAAAAGTCTACACTCTAATTCTACGCACCGAATAATTTCAAACACTGTTTGAAGTACACATACGCGATGATTGAACTAACATGTAAGAAGGAGGATGTTAAATCAATAAAGCTTACAAATCAAAATGAATTCATAAATATTGCAAATAATAATTTAATTATTTAAGTGAGAAAATAAAAAAGGAAGAGAATTAGATATAAAGATCCATTAAATGTTACTAACTATATTTTTATTGTCTTTTTTTCTTTTGTTTTTCAGACTTCGAAAAAGAAGGAGGTCCTTGACGAAGGTGTTTTTCGGTCACGCACCGATTTTAAAAATTATTTTTACGTTGGGCTCGTATAAGCTTCAAGTTGTACCGTGTTCAATTAGAAAATATATCATTTTTAGTAAAATTGTTGTACTTGTTATTTCATCAAAAATTCAGCTTCATTTCTAAGATTTACACATCATAAGTTTTTTAGGAACTGTTACGTGTTTACCAAGAAGCTGAAATTGGACCGACATTGTTAATATAAACATACCCACCCATGAAAAAGCAGTTTCTAGCTCAAAGAAACATCTGTTTAAGATAATGATTTAAAAATGTATCAATTTATCCGTTCAGTTGTGAACAATTAACAAAATGGTGATGTGACATCACTGTACCGATATTGACATTGTCTATTTACATTTCAATTCAAACGAACCAATCATGAATATTGATAAAAAAGAGCTTTAAATTAAATAAAAACCAATGCTAACAAGTAAGTGGTCTTAGACATGTTTACAAATCATTCTTACCCAAATGTCCACCATATGTCGAAGCACATGACGTTGAGCCAAGCAAACGCCGCCACAAAGCCGAAATAGATACCGTACCCTGTGCAAACAATATACGATAATTGATCAAGCTCGTCCGATGAGAACGGTCAAACAAATATTCTTTTGTTTTCATATTATCTCATCTTCATTATGTTTACTAGGCGGCCGTGGAATATTAAAACATCGGTTTTACCGTCTTTTTTTTATTACTTTACGGTAAGGCCATATGACGAAAATTGCTGTAGCATTATCACCTGATAAATACGCCCACTATAGTTAAGTGTCGTTGCTACGAATATAAAACCAGTGCTTACACTTCAATGGAATATAACCAAAGCGCAGTTAATAAATTAGATAAAATCTTGTTAATAAAAAATGGAAATATACATGTAATTCATGCAGATATATTAAAAACAAAATTAAAACTATAAAAAATCAAATCCTCCCATAATAAAAATTAAAGAAAAACGTCCGTACCATATAATATTGAAGATAAAAGCAAAAAAATGTTTTGAATCGGACTGTAATACAAAGATGTTAGCATGTGTATTATTTCAAAATAATAAATAAAATTATTTAAGATAAGTAAAGTATTACAATGCTGATGGGCTAGACACAGATAACTAATAATAATTACATTTCAATGATTATTTTTATTACTCAATTTACACATACGGTTTATTTCCTTCCAAATATGACGTACAATTTTTTTGGGCTTGATAAAAGTTAAAACCATATAAATACAAAAAAAATTAAAGCCATTGTAAGCCACCAACCCAGTAATTAATATTCACATTCATCATTTATTCATTAAAATCGATTACACATTAATGATTTTTATTGTCAGCATTTATAATTTGGCTGCCTGACATCTCACCAAAAATATTAGGATCAGTCTAGTATGTTACGTTCAAAACTTCGAATCTTAAAATATCAAATCGATTTCAGTCATTAGTCACCGAAACAAGTGCAGGAAGTAAACATTACTTATAATATTTTTGTAGCAAGAAATAGCGTCATAAAAGTGCCTCGTTGTTACGCAAAATTTATTACCCCTTTAATTAGTTGATTATCTACTCGCGTATTTTAACAAGGGCGCCATTGATAATGACTTTTGAGAAATTTTGTATTTGTTGCTGTTTACATACATTTTAATTTAAGTATACTGAAACCTTAGGTAAAATAGAAAAAGACAATTACCTAACAATTATTAAAAATTCTATTTTTTTTATTTTTAAAAATGTTTTCGATGTCAGTCCCCTTTAAACTTCCCTTATTTTCATGTGTACCCTTGGAAATGAATTGATTAAATATTAAGTAACTTTACATAGACATTCTTAACAATTGGGCCCGAGTAAACTATTTTATCTTATTGGAAAATATTTAACTTAAACAAATACGTTTGAAGTATTTTACATTGTATAAATATTTAATATGTTTGCTTCAAGAATTGCAACACAAGAAACCGTATCCTTGTGCTTTCACAACATTTGCTTTAAATATACCAATACTGACAAACTATAATAACTTTGCTTGTTTTAGTAATGCGTTGAAATAAAATAAGACACCACACACACACACAATGTTTACTCATCATAAATAAACGCTGTGAAGTGTTACCATATGACCGCCATTTCGCCAATAAAAATAATCTATTACAATGAGAATATCTCCTATAAAATATAACAAACTGCCCAAGAATAATAATTAATGCAAATAAGTCCTTTAGTTACGTCCATTCCCACCCCAAGTCCTATTATTATATGTAATAATCATGAGACCAAAACTGGCATACACAATAAGCAGATAATGCTTATTTAATTTCTCCATACGTATCAGTTACGATCACGGTATGATTGATGAGCACAGTACTGACTATATAATATTTAATCAAATCAATCACCGATTAAGGCAAATTTGCTTCTGGTATTAAAAACCATTTCATATCACCTATGAAATAAAAATCTCGCTAACTTTTAAGATGTACCTAATTCTAACCATTAAATCTAAATTCCAATCATGCATGAGAACATAGTAGTTCATCACGCTATCTCACTTCCGATTGGCAGACTTCACATATCTCAGAAATATTTTTATGTTATTATTTTGAAAGCATGCAGATTTCTTTCACCACTGAGCACGTGATAAGTCAGCACTTTAAATTAACAATTTATTGGTACTGGCACCAGGATTTGAACTCAGGTTTCTCGAGTATATTGAATTAAAAGTGAGCGACCGGACATTAAGCTAGCACAGCTATATTATATGGAGTTTTAATTAAATTTTATTAAATTTCTTTTTAAGTATTAATGGAATCATGGATTAAAATCCTTAATTTGTAACTATGTTTCATCATCATCATCATTTCAGCCTGTTTGAGTCCACTGCTGAACATAGGCCTCCCCCATAGACTGCCACGAAGTACGATCCTGAGCCACCTGCATCCATCGACTTTCCCATTTGCACAGGTCGTCACTCCATCTAGTGGGGGGTCGTCCCACACTGCGATGGCCAGTACGAGTGATGACCTACGGAACCGAGACGTGGTCCTTCACTGCTGGCCGTATGAGGAAGCTCAAAGTCGCTCAGCGAACTATGGAGCGGGCTATGCTCGGTATTTCTCTGCGTGATAGAGTTCGTAACGAAGACATCCGCAGTAGAACTAAGGTGACCGACATAGCTCAGAGGATTAGCAAGCTGAAGTGGCGATGGGCCGGCCATATAGCTCGTAGAACCGATAACCGTTGGGGAAGAAAGGTTCTCGAGTGGCAGCCTCGTAACTATGTTTATGAGTATGAAAATGACAATTATATCTCCATATTTAAATGGAGTTATAATTCTTTAATCAAAGGTCTTTTTGACAGCTTAACGCATCATAACAAAACTAACGCCTTTAAATTTTTTCATTTTATTCATTTTATTTCCCTACAATCGCTAAAATATTATTTTTAATCTTAGGAAAGAATTAGCCTTTTTGAACTAAATTCAAACTTTTATTACAAATTACGAACATTTAAGATCATTACTACAAGTTATTTAGAATAAATAATGAACACAGTTTTTAACACATTAGTCGTTTTTTACTATGATTTGTCCATGAAACTAACCAAGATGTTTTAATATTATTAATACTCGCACACTGTTTAATGCTGTAGAGTTCTGTTAAAGTGTTCGGTGTTTTCACGAGACCTAATGTTGGATAAAAAATTATTGGAAGTCCAAACATATTTAATCAGAAAGGTATAATTAATTTGGTATTAAAATGTAACCCAATAACAGTGTATAAACAACACTTTACTCTATGCTTTTTTTTAGATATATAAAATGAAATCAGTATGAATTTTCTTGTGCGTTATTTAACGTCTACGGCATTTTGAGGCGAAACACAACTTATTTACTTCAAAAATCTCAAAGAACGGTGAATAAATCATATAAACTCAAGTATAGGCACGTTCTTCGGCCATATATAGGTTGTTAGGCATCGATTACATATTTCGACATTTCGAGATCCAACAAGCTACAAGCTTTTTAGCCTCTTACTCATCCATATAACTCAACAAGAACGTTCCTAAATCTATTTTACTGAATTAGTATGAAATGATGACTTACCTAGCAATTTACACATACGGTTATCCACTACTTGATTATACTGGACCCTTGCGAGACATGAGTACGCGAGCAGCATCATGCTCACATGACAAATCAGAGTGCGACCATGCAGGTTCCTCAGCTCAGGTATTGAACAGTAAACGATCAATGTCAACGCTAAGCAAACGCTGGATATACTGTTAATCTGTAAAAAAAAAAAAAAACCTTGAAGTATTTTAGTGTGGATATCTTTTGATTTATTGTGTTCACCGTCACCCACGCTTATTCTGACATTATGTTTATGATGTGGATGTGCATCTTTTAAGAGCCGAAAGTCTAGCATCTACATGGACTAATTGCCGCCTTACTGTACTCGCGTCAAAATAAATAGTAGTTACAAATCAATATTACCATTACTGAAACAATTTTGTCATAACTTGTATATATAAAATTGCTCTTTATAAAAATTTAAAGAAAATTGCGATTGTTTACTGGATTTATCATTAATAACATTTGACTTTTTTTTATTGCATATCAATACTGTTACAAACTTCTATTTTCCATCTAAAATAACAAGTTTGATTATAAAATTTGTTCTGCATTACGTCATGAAAACTCCCCCTAACCCCAGAAGGTTTAGTGTTCATTTAATTGCCGTTTGAAATAAACATAAAACCGTTATAATACTTAGTTCTATCAGAGTACAGTCATATTAATTTCAGTGACGTCATTATTTTATTTTTGCTGTTGTTAAGTAACGACTTAATACAAACGATATTCGATCTCAAAAAGTGCATTAAATCGCTTCTTTACTCATATTAACTAATAAATAAATTAAAATTTTCAGGAAATGCGACAATTTTGATAATCGTTTCACTATTAAAGTTATTGGCGGTTCATAAAAAAAAAAATATCCACATTAGCGTGTCTATACATTCGAAGGTGGGGCAAGCAAGCTAGTAGAAAATAAAAGTAAATTGCATAATAACAATAAGATTTTATGATTGTCTTACAACAACATACATATCCCATATCATTGATCCAAACCTATAAATCATATATTACTCTCTACTTACCACAAAAGCAACTCTAAAGTCCTTTATCTTCACCTCTCCAATGAAGCAGAGTACAGCACTAACGAGTACATCATTCTGGGGACAGTGCCGTCGATCAAACATTTCCAGGCAATAGTCATTCGTGATGGAAATGGACGATTCTAGCCAACCCTCTGGTGTCAATCGGTGTCGATCACGGGGGTCCGATACGTTGAGCACAAATCGACCTTCTGGGCAATCTAGTTTTGTTCGAAGACCCATTATATCTATCAACGGTAATGAATTCATAATTACTTTCCATAGAGGCTTTTTAAATTGCGTGACTTTATTATCTGAATCAAATGAATACAGTAATGGATCTCTTAATTCGCATGACTATTAAATTATGTAGCTAGAGCTAAGAGCTCTCTCACCAGGAAAATAATTATAATAAAATTGGTGTAAGCGACTGGCGTCAACATGAGTCTTTTTGTTCAGATTATATATTTATGCCATTTGCTGTTGCATCTGTAAGTCTATGTGGTCCCCGCAAATCGAAACGTTTTGAAACGTCTTAGACTTATCGCCGCGGCTGGTGACAAGAGGGCTGGTTCTTTTCTAGCTCAAAATTTAACTATAACTATTTGGCTAACGTTTTGGCACAACGCCGCGTGGCAGTTTATTAGATAACATGTAATTTTGTTAGATTTAATATCATAAATATTGGTCCATGATTCATTAAATAAATAAAATTGGATTTAAGTTTTGCTAACAAGTTAAGAAATGGTTCAAAAATACATAGGTATTCCTTCATTTTTGTTGCTTGAAATAACAAAATTTTAAATTATTAAACACAATTTTAATTTTATTTCTTTAGCAATAATGAATGTTTCAATATCCAAGCAAATTTTAAAACGTACCGTATTCATTTTCCGTGAATTAGGGTACTTAGATAAGAAGTTTTTTATCAATTTATCAGAATGATATCAAATCCAGTATGGCAACGCAAAAAAGTTACATTGAAAACAATAATTACAGGGAAACTTACCTGTTAAACCTTTATAATCACTTTTCAGTGGTGCCAAATAATTCGTAGAGTTGAAGAAATTATGTTCGTCCACATTAGGTGTGCAAGTGCTGACCAAACTGCTGCATCTTCGCACTTTATAATGATATCCTTCGGGGCAGCATTTACGGACACAGAATGCGTTGAAAGCTTCGCAGTTTCGAGTGCAAACTTTGGCAATCATCCCCGTGGTGCCGTATTCTTCATCGATACACCATTCACCTCGCACTAATTGTCCCCCTTTACCGTTATCGGTCATACTCTTTGCGTTTAAAATGCTTCCCTCGATGGAGAATGAGAAAAGATTAGTTTTTAATTCCACTGCGTATTCATCCGATTTACATTGCAGTCCGATGTCCACTTCATATATATAGTCACCAGTTAAGTTTAAATTATTAATAAGCCATTCCTCGTCGCTTATTTGCTCAATATCCCTGCACGTATGATACTCTGTGTCAAAACTTTGACCTTTTCGACAGCATTTTTTAATGTTGTTTATTTTTATAGGAGTACTCGATATGTCCTCGGTATCGTTACTCATACAAGTTAAACCTACAGTTTGCGGAATACTTTGTGTCAAAGTATCATTCAAAACGACAGCTATTAGTCGATCGTAACATTTGTTCGGTGATGATAGCAATTTAGATTGAAAATCAAACGTACCGATTTCTTTCAAGCCATCACAGGACATCGGCAAGCCGTGTTGAACAAGAACATTATCGCTTATCACCAACGGGGAGTAAGAGATGTTATAAGCATTCTGTATGTTATTTCGGCTCATGCAGTCGAACTGTTCAGTGTCTACCGTTATCACCTTGACGAGGCTCTGATGCCTCGGGCAGCATTTGCGAAAACCTATTGATTCACTATCACTGACTCCATCACTATCACTGGCGGCTTCGCTCACCGTCCCCAGCACAATAGCACACACGTACATCAGGACCCACATGTTCCGTGAAGCCTGACACACTGTTTCCCACAATTATATTTGATATAGTTACAACAGATGGCCAGTGTCGGTCATCGCGGAATGCATTGTTTATTTAGCGAACGGGGCTCGAGGCGTGCGGTGTACGTTGGCGTCGGCGGCTGAGTGATACACTGCCGGAATCGCAACGCTTCTGTACAAGCAGGAGGCTGTTGTGGCCTTGACAAATTCAGCACTAATTCCCTTGAAATACCCTAAACGCTTCGACGAGCCTAATGCACAATATTTAAAACACATCGATTCCTCACAAAACACTTCCTTTTCGTTTTCTTTCCGCTCTATTACATTTATAGCTACAATACGTATCAATATTATTATAAATGTATTAAATAGAAAAAAATAATATATTTTTTTCTATTTAATAAGCTAATCAAACGGTTTACAAACGGCAGACTCACCTAGCCAAATACGATATAACTACAAGGCGTGCGATTCATCGCCAATCAAATACTGATAACGGTGAAGTGATCGATTGATTAGTAAGAATTGTGATATTTATTTTCTAAATAAATGTGACATGTATTTGATATCGTCTTGTTCTTACTGATTATTACAAGTACATGTATATAATTTAATAAACAAAAAATGCTTATTATTGATGTTCCTCAAAATCATTTATTTTTAATGGAGATCGAAAAATAAAATTACCTTTTTGAAATATAGGACATTTTCGAAATTATTCTTTTTCATTGGTTATTTTCATTCTACGACGTAAAAATGGCCACAGACAAAACTTCAAGCTTCCAAGCACCACGACTACTCTTAGCATATTATTATTACTACCAGACTAGGCGATGGAACTGACTAAATTGTCGTAAATATTTCGGTCTCCTACTTTATAACTAAGGCAGAGAACATTAGTATGTAGCGGAGTATATTAGTATAATGTAATAAAAACAATACAATCTATATATTTAAAAGAGATTTCCACCAATAATTGACTCATCGCGATATCTCTGGAACCATAAGGCGTAGAGACTTGAAATTTGGTAGGAATATTCCTTTCGCCGAGTAGAGGTCTGCTAAGAAAGGATTTTACGAAATTCCACAAAACAATCAGCTAGTAGCTGATCCGGCAAACGTTGTTACAATAAATTTTCAGTGTATAAAATCCAACAGTGACAAGGGCAACCAAACAATTTAAATAGATAAACATTGTGACAAAAAAAAGATTGTGAACTGTTCAAGTCACTATGAAAATATCAGGCACATTTATGAATTAGGCACTTTGCAGTAACAAAGTGCCTTATTCATAAATTAAAGCCACAATGTAATCAGTTCAGCCGTTCGGAGCTTAAGGATCAGATTTGTTTCTCTCGATAGACAAATAGACAAAAGTGAACTTTGGAAAAAGTCGTTTGTGTCTCAGTGGGTGGTGATGTAAAAATCATATTAGATGAATAAAATGCACTTGTTACGAAAATCAGACAGACAGAACATTTAATTCAAAGAAATAGAGCTTGCTCTATGCAAGCTATTTTTTTCTTTGTCTTCACAAATATAAAGTCGAACCACAAATTTTTGGGACCGTATGAGGACCAAACCCATGAATTCATGGCAAGATGATGACTTACTTTTTATACTTATGTATTCGTTTATAAGTTTTTATGTATGAATAACAAAAAATATCTATTCGGTACATGGAATCTTTCAATTAAAGAAAGCTTTCTATAGAATGTATTATAGTTTTTCGAGCTTTGCAATAGAAGCATAGATTATTACACTTTATTTATTTTCTTACTTTACTGCAGGGAGCCAAAAAAGGAACGTTATGTGTTTGACCTGTATCACCCAAAGCTGCAAATGTATTAATTCCTCTGTGTTTCGTCGTAAGTACAAAAACGGCTGAACTGATTTTGATGAAAGGTATGTCATTACATTCGTCTTTATTGCGCAAGTCTTATGGTAATCTTAAAATTATAAACAATTAAAACGAGGGATTTTTGACATCAAAATGTATGTTTTAAATATTGTTGCACCACACTCGGGTAATTTAGTTCTTTTTTATTAGTGACTTGTATACAATTATATAACATCAGAGTTATTTTACACTGTAATAATTATCAAAGCGGGATGTTATGTACAAGTGCGTGCCTGTGTCAGGGCGGACGCTGAGAGAACTACGATATAAGCAATCCGATAACGTTAACGGTATTGACGCTTTAGTAGTACTTTTACGCCCGATTTTTGAAACACTGATCATCGTAGAAGTTAACTTCTCGTTTCGTTCGTTTTAAATTGAAAAACCAAATGGATTGTTAAAATGCCAAAAGGATTGTTAAACTCTTTGAATTGATCATTCTGATCATTAGTGATTCAGAAACCGTAAACCAGGGGTAAGTCTTTGAAACTTCGGTTAGAATATAACATTTGTTGTGATTGATGCTCGCTGGTTGTTAAACATATCAATAATAAATGACTGTATGTAATAAAAGACATTGTCGGTATGTCTTATGTATTATATAACATCTTAAATAATAACATCTCTTTAATTAACTTCCTAACAAAGGGTTGTCAAGGTTGTCAATGGTTGTACAGTACACATACAATTACGTTTATTCTTTTTATGAAATGAAATAAAGTAACAGCCTATAAATGTCCTATTGCAGGCAAAGCTAATAAACTAATACCCTCTATACAGAGGAAGCTGTACAAAGGGTATCAGAGTATAAGTTCACCACGCGAACCCACTGCTGATTAGCGGACTTCATATATCTACGAAATATTTCTTCTGTTAATATTTTTGAAAATATACAGGTTTCCTCACGATTTTTTGCTTCACCGCTGTGTGTGAAGGGGAAAATGATAAATGTGTGTACGTTATAAGTCAGCACTTTAAATTATCAATTTTATTGGTGCCGGCACCAGGATTGGTACACAGGTTGCTCAAATATATTAAATTAAAAGAGCGCCCGGACAATGACCTTTCACGGCTGTAAATGAAATATATATTTTTTTTAAGAATACACCTTTATTTTATTAGAAAATCCTTTTTTTGTATTTTGCGATTGTGAAATGAATTACTGATAAGGTTAAATAATATTAAAAAGAAGTCAAAAGCTACAAAAATTATAAAATATTTTAATTATTTAATTTGTACATATACTTATCGTTATATCTATGATAATTATAAACAAAAGGTAATGACTTGAAATTCAAATTGGCACATACATTGATTACATTAAGTTTATAAATTAAAGTAATATCAACAATTTTCTAATTTATATTAATAAATTACTGAAGAAGGATTTTCAATAACCGAAAAAAAAATAAAGTAGTTTTTGTTTAATGTTACATATTAGAATAAACATGTCGAATAATCCTGTATCTAGATTTAAAAAATTAACTGTTACAATGTCAAATCTTAATGGCATCCGCAAGTCTTAACAACCATGTTTTTATACTTCCGTAGTATAACATTCGAATCATCCGTGTAGTACAATACTGAAATAGTTGCTAGTTTGATCGGAGCACATGACGGTTTTGGAACCTGAAAATAATTATCGTTATTAAAATTGATTTTACAATATTTAAAATATTTAATAGGCGAATACAGTAGAATCTCGTTAAATAAAAACCAAAAGAAATATTTAACAGTTTGAGTTATCCAGTTTTTAACTTTTTATAAGTCTTAATATTTAGTTAATCGTAAAGTGTTACAGCTGGCCTTGCTTTGCTGACCGATATGTATACTCGTATATCGATCTTGTACCTCAAAAATTCCTTATATAGTTTTTAGACACTGTTTAAACTTCGTAGATAAACACTATTCTAAGTAAGGACTTCCTCATTTATATAGCAAATTTCCTTCAAATTCTTATTTCTTAAAAAATTGAGTTTCCTTTTTTTTTATAATATGAGTGATGATATAATTTCGTGAATTCCGAACTGGGCTGAATGTCTTTTCTCTTCAAATAACTTTTCACCGCTTCTATCACCTTTGAGTTTTCAGACTATATGTAAGTGTTTTCAATTTTCGTTTTGAACTCCTTTCAAATGGGTAAGCTTTTAATTTGTCACAATAAGCACGAAGATGCTTCTTGCCGGCTAAATTTGCTTATGCCTCAGACACGGCCGTAGCTAGGGCAATGTAGGGCAATGCCCTACCTTAAAATCACAATGCCCTACCTTAAAAATACCAAAATAAAAATGCGTAAATATGACCACGTTTTTCAATTTCGTACACGTCTCAAGTGATTTCCCATCCTACTTCGCCGGAATTTGTATATTCTTTCTATGTTGTACCTACTGTGTTCTATTTCATGTTTCTACTCCACTTTATTTAAAGGAGAAATTTGAATTTGTAGGGCTTCTAGGGGAAGATTCTACTTTCTTCGAGGAAGCTCATTTTAAAGGTGCCAAACCACAAAACGTAATTTTTTGAAAAATCTTTTACCGTACAGGCTGTTAAACTCTACTACTGCATTATATACTATACTATTGCACAACCTACGTAGTAAAGTTCCTTTACGCCATTGGTTGCCTGGAAGAGATCGCTATGAAGTGATACGGCCGCCAAATTGTGAATTCCATTAATTTGTTTGTCTATTGTTAATTTTGTGTATCCTCTTTTGTGTGGTGGACAATAAAGTACTCATTCAAAAACTAAGATACATTATTGTAATAAAAATTGTAGCGATAGGTATCTCAACTTTTCTGAACATACCACAGTTTGTCAAAATCAAAATAATTTATTTATGGACTTAGGAAACATAAGTACATTTCATCTATCGATAGTATTTTTTTAATCTACCACCGTTTCATCATGAGGTTCCTCTAACGGAGAAGAAACAGGCGAAAGAAACTCCGCAGGTATCCTCTTATTCGTAATTTTTTTCTTAAAAAATTAAAATATTATACAGCTGTTTTTTTTTCTTTCTTTTAGAAATAGCTTGGGTGCGATCAACTCATTACCGTGTGTGACATTCATTTCATATGAATTCTTTCGTATAAAAAAGTTTTTTCGTATAAAAAAGTACCTGGAGGACCGAGCTATGCTCGTTTTTTTTTTTTGGTATGGTATGTATTTTGGAAATAAAAAAAAAAAGAAAGCAGTGATCAGGTATAGAAAAAACAGTAAAAAAATAAGTGTGTGATCGTGATACGAACCGCGGCCGTCTGTTTTGGGGCCGCCCGATTACCGACCGAGCTATTATAAAAATTTTTTTGCGGCGAAATTTACCGTCATATTCGAATGATATTTTTCATTCCCTGAAAACAGGGATAAAAGGACATTTTCTAAAAATAAAACAGCTAGATCGATGCTTCGCCTCCAAATCTGCGCACATACTAAATTTCATGAAAATCGCTGGAGCCGTTTCCGATTATATATATATACACAAGAATTGCTCGTTTAAAGGATAAAATAATAATAAAATAGGCATTTGAATGATGATGATCTAATCAATTCGATTGCAAGTCTCGATGAGTTGGATGTAGATAAAATGCTTCCACTGAAAAGTTTGGGTACGTTTAAAAAATTTAATAATTCAAGTAGGCTAGTGTGGTTAAAGTTTACTAGAGTCGTAACGAGGACAAAATGGAAAATACATTGCAAGTGTTGTACAGGCAACGAGAGGCGTTTAAAGATACATATGAACTTTTTGCATCTGTGGCGACCATAGGATGTAGCACTGCAGTGTGCGAATCTACGTTTTCAACTTTAACTGCAATCAATAGGCCTCAAAGGCTGTCAAAAGGCTGTCAAAAAAAAAAGGACAAAATCAGTTGATCTAAACGAAGTTCTTCGCATTTTTAATAAATAACATGGCGAATCGAAGAATTCAGCTGTTTTAAATATTTTTATTATTATGTTAATAATTATACTAGGTCTGCAGAAACAATTTGATATAAGTGGTATTTTTGGTCGTATCATCTCATCCAAAAATTAATTATTACCTCACTCTCACTCAGACGTCGATCTCTACATCCAAAGCTGGAAGATCAACCAACTTGTTCGCTTATTCTTCATCATGCTCATGTTCTGCCACAGAAATTATTTGTCTACGAATAGCTATTGAACTGACCTAGAGGTCAGTGATATACATGATGTTTGATTTAGGAGCTCATGCTAGTTGGGGCAAATATCCCTTTATGGCCAACCGCTCCCCTGGGAGATAAAGGTCAAATACTTAGGAGTCACTTTCGACTCGCGTATGTCATTTAATACGCACATTAATAACGTTCGCAATAGAGCCACGTTCTTCTCCGGCCGGCTACACAATTTAACTAACGCTAAAAGTAAAATGCCCTTAAGGCACAAATTATTATTATATAAAACCTGCGTACGATCTATTATGTCCTACGCATGCATAACCTTCGCCCACACGCACCCTACTCGCTTGTACAAATTGCAAATAGTACAAAATAAGTTCATACGCCGCGCAACCGGTGGGCAGTGGTATCAACGCAACGTCGACCTGCACAGCGATTGCAGACTCCCGACGATTCGCGAATATTTTAAAGACCTGACCAAACGGTTCTTCGATAGAGCCGAACATCATCCCAACCCTCTGGTGGTGGGCGCAGCAAATTACCAACCCGACACAAACGCGAACGTCAACAAGCGTCGCCCGCGAAACGTCCTCATCGACCCGGTCGAGGAAGGGGACTTAGATACGCCGGACCCACCGCCGGGGGTCCCGCCGGATAACACTACACCCACAGTTAGTGCAACAACAAACATACTAGTTCGCCCTCGCCTCCGAGCACGGCGAGAGCAACACAACGCGTACACAAGGGACACCCGCGTTCCGGGGCGGTTCTCACCGCTCCCAGCCACCGATTAGCTAAATGCACAGTCGACGGCCATCGGGGTTTCGGTCCGATCCGCGACCTCGATGGCCCTTAGATGAGACACCATAGTTAAACGCACGCATGAGCACATGCGTGGCCCTACCCACAGCGGAGGGCCCAAACCCGTGGGTTCTGGCTAGCCCACCGGTTCTGCGTCAGATGAACCTTTAATAGTCTCGGGACTGAAAGTAAAAACGTCAGTTAATACAAGATACAAGAAGGAGCTCATGCTTCGAGGGCAAATCGATTATGATAAATTTAATTTAATTGTTTACTTCCGCCCTACCTGTAATCAATGCTGCCCTACCTCAAATTCAACTCTAGCTACAGCCCTGGCCTCAGATAAAGCTTCAAAGAACCATAAATAGCAATCTGGTAAATACCCATTAGGAGTAAAACCAATATGTCTATACTAAACCTTTTGTTTGTTATGATTTTATACATTTGTTTAAATTAATCTCTGCATCTATTGCTTAAAATTGTTGGGGCTGTTAAAAATTTTATGTTACTGTTTTATGGACCTGAATGCCTGATTTATTCGTTTATTCGTATTTACTGATTTATTCGTATTTTAAATAAACGAGGTTTTGGGCTCTTAAGGCAAAGGCACAAAGGCAATTTTTATCAACTTATACAGGTAATCCCACGGCGCCGAAAATTTTTGTTTATTTACACATTTTAAACCGATTTTATAGATGCAGTGGACGACTTTCCAGTGACAATTAATATATATATATATATATATATATATATATAAATTATTGGAGGGCATATTTCCAAAACCAAAGCAGCATGGTGTTCCAACACGACTCAACGCCGGCGCATTTTGCTCGTCAAGTACAACACCTTTACGTTCGCTTCCCACGTGTATGGATCGGTTGTGGGGTTATGTTAAGGACAAATTGTATTCCACTGATTGCCAACTGTGGTCGAGATGGAGCAACGTGTGAGAGTCGTTTTTGTGACAATAGGACCTATGATGGCCAATAGATTCTTTACAAGGGACTTTTAACCCCCTTTCGGCTTTAGGGATTTTTGTAACATCCTTTATACCCCTATGGACTCATAAACGGCTGGACCAAATGAATGGAATTTTCAGTCAATCTTCGAATTAGCGCAACGGGTGGTCCCGTAAAGTTTGGTTGCAATAGGATAAACATATTTTTTTAATAATTATTATATAATTTATTTCACGGTGGTAGAGCCACGCAAAAGCCTCGGCTGTTGCACGAATGGGCAGGCTTGTCCGGGTAAGTACTAAGACCTCGCAGAAGACCGGCGTAAAGTGGAAGTATAATACTTTCGCGTTTCGTCTGGTGAGTGAGGTGGCCGGAGCCCAATTCTTAAAAGGTTGTCAACGCATCTGGAACCCTCGGATGTAGCAGATGTCCATGGGCGGCTGTATTCACTGAACATCAGGTGAACCGTCTGCTCGTTTGGCAACATTTCACATTAAAAAAAATTATAGGATTAATTTTGCCGTACGAAGTGGGGTCGCTCTAGTTGAACATAAACATTTGATCATAAAAAAATTAAAAAAAGAAAGACAAGCGTTAAGCGAAGCAAGCTTTCGTAGCTTACCTGGGTAGGGTTTAACAAATGCACCAAAGTCTGTACAATAGCGTGATTCGTCGCATTTTTATGGGCGTTCAAAGGAAAGTTGCATTCACCGCTGCAGTAGTAAGCACTATAGCCATCTGGTGCGATGATCCAGTCCTAACGGAAAAAAAGTAATGCAATTACAATATATTTTTAATTCATAAAAATTTGAATATATGATATATTCAGTACAAACAGTCAATTCAAAAAACCTAACTATCAAAACTTAACATGGGAAATATATAATTATGTCCAATGCAAAACAAAACATGCGTACTCATTGGCGTAGTTTGAACTCACCCCGATAATAATATACTACATATATATTAGGACTTTGACCCATGATATTGCCGATTTGGATGAAATACTTTATTGTTTTTTTTTTTTTCAAGCATTTTTATTTCAGTTCTTTGAAGCGGCGGTATTCACTGAACATCAGGTGAACCGTCTGCTCGTTTGGCAACTTTTCACATAAAAAAAAAAAAAAAAAAAAAAAAAAAAAAGTATTATTTGCCAACGCAGGGGTAGTTTATTGATGCCCTTCATATTCTCCATTATTGTCTTTAGTTCTTCGCAGTAAAAATCTGCAGTAATGCTCATGCCGATTTGTAAAAATCTGTGATGAATAACGCCAGCACTAGACCACCAAACAGTGACTCTCTAGGGGTAATTTTTTGTATAGGGCATTGCTTTGGTGCTGAACCAGGATTTAACTAATTTGCTGAGCGCTTTCGATTGTCGAATAGAATCCAATTTTCGACGCAATTTGTTTCAAAATTCCTCATTTCTGTGCCGTTTGGGCAGCGCGAGGCAGATGGCCCAATATTAAAACTAAAGAACGGCAATTTCATAGGTATTACGCAAGACCTATTATGATATAAAATTATTTGCAAAATAATATTTACTTACTTGCCATTCTAAATCCTTAAAGCTAACATATAAGGTTTGAATTTCACAACTCCTCGTCGTCCAATGAGATGTGTCTGTAATTTAAAAAGATATCTTCAAATAACTCAATTTACAGTGAAGTCAGCAATCTATACAGATATATGTATATTGTTTTTAAACTTTTTTACGGAGGCGAAGGAGAACGAAGCTTGAAACATTTGGGTCTTCACGGTACTTCTACACTTCACGGTATTACCATGGCAACCAATAATAACTTTTGACATTTATCTATAATTCAGAGTTATTTAATTAAACTGTCATTAGGAATTAAATTAAAATAAACGCGATAAATCCGTAAAATTAGTTTCATTTATTTGTCATTAATAGCATTTAATATTCGCAAACAAAGAGTACCGGCACAGGGGATAAAGTTTTTAGTTATTTTTTGCTACGCTAAAGAAGTATAACTTCTTACGTGTGTAGATAAATACACACACGTTTTTATGCTTCCGTATCCAAAGGGTAAAACGGTACCCAATTACTAAGACTCCGCTGTCTGTCTGTATTTCCGTCTGTCACCGGACTGTATCTCATGAACTGTGATAATTATACAGTTGAAATTTTCTCAGATGATGTATTTCTGTTGCCGCTATAACATAAATACTAAAAAACAGAATAAAAAATATTAAAGGTGGGCTCTCATACAACAGACATGGTTTTTTTGCCGTTTTAATAAATAATGGTAATGGAACCCTTCGTGCGCAAGTCCGACTCGCTCTTGACTGAATTTTTTTAACATTATTGGAACAAGGCGCTCTCTTTTAACATTTTTTGTAGTGCATTGAAACGCACCCGTCAATGGATTCCTGAGGTAATTGTCTGAATATCCATGAGTACGCCAACGACGTGCCTCGCGTTTTCGTCGAGCACCCGCGTCCCAACCGCCCAGTTTTGGACCGTTCTTGAAAAACGCAACTAGAAACGGTTGTTTGCCGTCGGCACCTGATCCGCGAGCCTCTTCTAAGCCAATTTCTTCGGGCTTAACATGACGCTCTGTGAAAAAAAAACAATTAGTAGAATGTTTGTATTCTACCATGAGTAAAAAATATATACTTAAATATGTTCACAGGACCAGAATAATACCAAAGCGGCTTTTAACGATATTTAATTTTTACACTACATTTTTTCGAGTAATTACTAGCAACGTAGTGCTTTACGTTATATCGTGCACGTAAGCAAACAGTATTTTAAATAATTATAAACAATATTTTTTTTTATTAACATAAAACAAAAACGACTTCAAAATCGATACGATTTTTGAGGAATTCCCTGATATAGTCCAAGGTCCGCTTACCGAATTAAATTTTTATAGGAACACATGGGAGCTAAACCAAACCGAATGCAAAAATAATTTTTAAAATTGAATTATAAATGACGCGTATTGAGGTAAGAATCCGAAATGGGAACAGCCTCCATTTTTGAAGTCGATGAAAATATTCAATTAATAATTAAATAGTATTCGGTATTATGATATCTAATGTCTTTATAATTTTGATAACATCTTTAGTCAATAAAGACATTTATTATTTTTTTTTTTTTATGTGAAAAGTTGCCAAACGATTAGACGGTTCGGTGATATTAAGTGAATACCACCGCCCATAGACATCTGCTACACCCGAGGGTTTGCAGATGCGTTGACAACCTTTTTGGAAATTGGAAAGTTTTTGGAATTATTATTATTAGAAATGTTTAATACATTTCCAAAAGTTACAGTTACACTTACGCGATTATATATATATAATTAAATAAACAATAATAACCACCCCATTTTAATAATACTAGTCTTAACGCAAATTGAAATAAACCAAGTACATATGTACTAATATCCATATCATATATATACGTCAATTATTTTAAATTTCAACCGTTCGTCATTCGTCAAAACCCGTTTATGAATTTGCGCCAACATACCCGGTTGCGAATGTGGATGCAGTGTTATAAAGAAACCACGATTCTCTGTGGGTTCGGTGAGCCAAGCCGACAAAGCAGCTGTCACATTAAGTTCAAGCCAGCCTTCAGCACCAGCGCTTGTATTCACCGCAGCCACACGTTCCATTTTTAAACCTCTGCCGAAATTATATTTATTAATTTAATAAATGATTATGAAGTTATCAATATCAAGGGCTGCGGTGGCCAAATCCTGTGAACGATGAAACTTTTTTTAATCGACCTTTATGATTCCAGAAGTGCTGTAAGCGTTGCTATACGTTATACAAAATATTTGAGAAAAAATTTTGGATACAGTAAATAAATTGTATTTTTGCTTCATACTGTGATATAGTTTTCACTTCAGGGGTTTATATGCCAAAAATTTAATAACACAACTTTGCAGAAAATTTGAGTTATTTGAGGAATTAGTGTCACATACAGAGTCTCGGTTCTCAATGTCACGTTTGAACAGAGCTCGATTTAAACCATGGTGGTAGGGGGACACAGCAGCCTCGGCTGTTGCACGAATAGGCAGGCCCGGGTAAGTACCACGACCTCAAAGTCTGGTGAGTCCAGTTTCAAAAGGTTGTCAACGCATCTGGAACCCTCGGGTGTAGCAGATGTCAATGGGCGGCGGTATTCACTTATCATCAGGTGAACCGGCTACTCGCTTGGCAACTTTTCTTATTAAAAAAACCGAATAATTATATAGAAATATTTATAATTTTAAAGTAAACATAAAATCGTTGGTTTCTATTTAATTTTTATTTTGAATGCCTTCTTTAACACAGTTAAAGAGCTATTGGCTTCGGCGCACTGCGTCCCAGTTTGATTATAAGCGCCGTAACACGACGAGGCAATAATCTACAACTTTAAAATATTACGTATGTACAGAATCTACGTATAATAAATAGTGTACACGAAAAGGCAGCCAATATCACTTTTTGGCTGCCTTTTCGTGAAAAATTCATAAATAATTATATGATGATCAAACGCGAAGTACGAACAAATAGATCATCAGGACGAGTTAATATTTACCCAACATTATCGACGCTGAGCACTCTATGCGCGACAACCGTATACAAATTTGCCGGATTTTCCGTGTGCGTTGGAGCCTGGTGCACTCTCAGCTCTGCTGTTAGCAGAGAAGAAGCATCACTGGGAGCACCAGCTACCTCGAACCACACATGCCTGCCGTGCCCGTGCCGTAAAGCACCCAAATGGTGTTCTGAAAATAATAGATGAATATAAAAATAAAACAAACCTTTTATTTTATTTATGTACTTTTAAAGATAATGTTCGATATTAGAAGCAAAACTTAAATACTTTTAAACCTTAGCTTTAATATCATTAGTGTTATGAAAAAACAAAACGTTTTACCATTTCAAGTCGATAGCCCATACTTCCATACTAATATTATAAATGCGAAAGTATCTCTGTCTGTCTGGCTCGCTTTCACGCCAAAACTACTGAGCCGATTTAAATGAAATTTGATACACAGATACTCTAGAGCCTGAGAAAGGACATAGGCCATTTTTAATTAGTAAAAGGGTTATAAAGGGTTTTTAAAGGAGAAAGATCTAATACCTTTAAACGAGCAATTCTTGTATATATATATATAATCGGAATCTCAGAAACGGCTCAAGCGATTTTCATAAAATTTAGTATGTGCGTATATTCGAGGGCGAAAAATCGATCTAGCTAGGTTCCATTTTTAGAAAATCCTTTTATCCCTGTTTTCAGGGAATGAAAAATATCATTCGAATATGACGGTAAATTTCGCCGAAAAAAAAATTTATAATAGCTCGGTCGGTAATCGGGCGGCCCCGAAACCGAAGGCTGCGGTTCGTGTCACGACCATTTAAAAAACAAACCGAGCAAAGCTCGGTCCTCCAGGTACTAATTATTTAAGGGCTTCAACGCGAGTGAAGCCACGGGCGAAAAGCGTATTAAATCACATGACTAAATGAAAATCGAAATATGATTTTCATGTTTATGTTATTTATAAATTATTCCGTCTTCCGCGTTCCACACGTTTCTATCGAAACCAATTGAAATATGTTGTTTAGCTTTTGGCTAGTGATAACTAAGCCAAAAGCTAAACAAAATATTGCATGAAAGGGACAGAATAACAGGGTAAGTTCCATGGCCCAAGAATCCAAGAGCTATGTTCATTAAGTCGATTGTAGCCGAGGCCAAAATTCTTAAAGGTATGAAAAGCTATGAACAGCGGTAGCCCTCATAACATTACATTAACCACCTGCCATCTTCCCACAGTTAAAATAATGCTACCATGTTCATTAAACATCGTATAATTCAACAAATCTATTGATCAAAACAAATAATAAGTATTTTTTTTAAAAACATTGCCCTGACTTTAGGACTTTAACATTATCCTGTGGAGGGACATTTTACACACATAAGTTTCACATGGACAAATACCCTGATGCAAAACAACTATCTGTGGGTCCCACAAATAGTTGTCCCGTGTGGGAATCGAACCCATGACCCCCGACGCCGAAGTCAATACTTTGGCAACTGTGTCATGGAGTCATCTAAAATTTATCTCTGACGACCTTACTAGAGGGAGACCAACTCAAAGTTGCGGGAAGCCATCGGATATAGGCTCAGTACCGGGTTTAAAAGCGGACTTCGAAAAGTAAGTAACTGATTTCGGCAATGTCTTTTAGGTTGTAATTGAACTTTTCACCGATTATATTTTTCATTACGACATGCAATATATTGGCGTGGCTTAATTTGAATTAAACTAATTTGTATTTTAATATTTGATAACACAGCAAATAAGGATTAAATTTATAGATCTGTATCAAATAACTTTAATGATTATAGTCTTCATTTTAAGAATATCAATGAACATCATAATAACAGGTGTCGCTTGTTCTTGTCAAGCAAGTTGTAATATGATACTATAATGCACGTGTTTTAAAAACATATCATATACCAGCATATCATAAATTCTATGAAGTTAATCACTAAATTAATAAACATTATAAATAAATTTTAATAAAAGCTGAAGAGCGACTTCAATTAAAAAAATAACTTTTTTTTACATAAACTGACTATTTTATTTAAACTCAATGTATGTGATTTTATTTTTTGTGTTGACTTCACTTAAAACAAGCCAGGTTGAAGAATTAACCGTTTTTAATAACATTTAATTATATCTTTACACCTATACTTTACCTGTTAATTGTTCATCTTTATCGGTTAATTTGTACAATATCAAAAGAAATGTACATCTTCAAATTTTAATGTTTCATGCTTGGAACATACATGCTTCACGTTTTTTTTAATGTAATAAAGTGGAAAACGAACTGGCGATTCACCTGATGTTGAGTGATAACCACCGCGCATGTCTAACACCCGTATACAAATGCGTTGGCACCTTAAAGTAAAGTGGGCCCAGGCAACCTTACTCACCAAACGAAACACAGAAGTGTAACGCTATTACACGTCGTACTAACCCGGATCGGTTTTTTATTTAAAAAGTTGCCAAGCAGTGGTATTCACATAAAATCAGGTGGTTCACCTGATGAAAATGAATACCACCGCCCATCTGCTACACCCAAGGGATTGCGTTGACAGCCTTTTGAAAATTGAGCTCCGGCTACCTCACTCACCAGACGAAACGCGAAAGTATTAGTCATACTTCCACTTTATGCCGGCCTTCTCAAGTCTGTGAGGTCGTGGTACTTACCCGGACGAGTAGCCCATTCGTGCAACAGCCGAGGCTGCTGCATAGAGTTTAGAGTTGCATGAATAGAGTTTCAATCTACAAAATAAATATTTATTTCTCTCCTCACTCACCATTCTTTTTAGAGTTTCATACCCAAATGGTTAAAACGGAGCCCTATTACTAAGACTCCGCTGTCTGTCTGTCACCAGGTTGTATCTCATGAACCATGATAGTTAGACAGTTGAAATTTTCACAGATGATGTATATTTCTGTTGCCGCTATAAAAACTATTAACATTATCTATAAAAAGGCCAAAAAGTCACAGAGCTCGTCCTTAACGGCGGGACCGATTTTAATGAATCTTTTTGGGTGTCTTTAGGTGGATTTGAGAATGGTTTAGATTCACAAACTTATTTAAAAAGTTCGAAATTTTCGGATTTAAGACGTGGGTACAGGACGTCTGCCCAATCCGCTAGTACCTATATATGTATATTTATTATGTATTATATATAATCTGAATCTCGAAAACGGCTTCAACGATTTTCATGAAATTCAGTGTGCGGGTGGGGGTTACGGGGTCGATAAATCAATCTAGCTAGGTTTCATTTTTAGAAAACGTCGTTTTTGCCGTGTTTTCAGGCAATGAAAAACTGCTACAATATCATTAGTATACGAAAGTAAATTTCGCCACCATCTATAACGTCATAACTCAGGTAGGAAATCAAGCGGTTCCGAAACCAGAAGACCTCGATTCGAAGCCAGATGATGTTTTTATTTTTTTTTTCTTCTTTAGTGAGAAAAAAACGGTCAACCATGTACTGAAATATAAACAACGGAACAATCTATTCTTTTATATAGCATTATCTATTGTATACAATAACAGCTTTTACATAGAAATGAAAAAGTTTTTAATTTTTATAGCGCGAAAATGTCTCTATAATAAAATTTATAATGAAAAAATAAATTAACCAGTATCATAAACCAAACAAGACAATGTACGTATGCTCAGATGTAAAAATTGAAAGATATATATAGTTTCTTTTACCGTCACGATAATAAGTACATTTATACTATTTTTTATTTTTTTATATAGTTTGAAACGTTTTGAAACGTATTTGGCACCTACTTCGGTTTACAGCGCTTCATATATCTAAAAGAAAAAAGGTTTGAGCAAAAAAACAACAAAGATCGGTTGACATGCCCACAACTATGCGGGCGGTCGTCGCAAATCCCCATCTCTTTGGTATGCGACCCACGGCACTTACTATAAAACCCGTAATGACTCATTCTACCTGAGTTTCCAATAAACTACCAAGAAAAGTACTATAAAAAATAGTACTTCCAAAGATATTTGTTTCGAAAAAGAAAGAAATATGAGTAGTCCACCAAAAATAATGATTACTAAACAAAATATTTAATCATATCATGAATATAATCAAAGATTTATACGGTCCATTTATTTATCTATAAAAATTATGAAATGCTAAAAAAGCTTTAACATTTTAAAATACTATGGTCATATGATATAATTGCAATTTTATAGTATATTTAACATTATTAACATTTAAAATATTAAGTGCTTTAAACTGTTTCATGAACGAAAGTGTATTAAATAATATTAACATCCAATGGCTTTGATAATTTTAACAAATAATACGACAAAAATATTTTTACTACAAAAATTTTAGAAAATACAAATAATCATGAAGGTATTTGAAAAATAAATAGCATACTAAAGTAAGTCAATACAAAAAAAAAAAAAAAATACAGTATTGCAACTTACTTTTGCTTTGAAATGTCATTATAAGATCGCTTTCGTCAATCGCTTGCTGTTCTTCACCGCTTAAAGCCATTTCAGAACTTCGCGTCGGTCTTGCTTGCTCATGCTCTTCTGCCAATTGTTTGTATACATCAAGAAGAAAGCTAGGTGCCGAACGGTCCAAAGGTGGTGCACCAGACCGACGAGGCCTTTCGCCAAGACCCAAAAGATCTAAAATTTCATGTTCTACCAAAAGTCTTTCGTGACGTGTCATTGAATGATGTATTACCGTCTGATCTACGCCATTATCAATGTATAAACCAGAAAGTACGGCTTCCGACGTCACAATAAACAAAAATAAAATCACACACCGCCACGCCGTCTTAGAGTCAGACATGTTTTCAAACCGCATATACACTAACAGTTGTGCTCTTAAAACACTCGGGGCTGACTGACGGACGAATATAACGTTCGTTTACGACTCAATCGCGGAATCACACGAGTCCGGCCGCAGCCACTGAACCTGCCCACTCAAGGTGGGCCGGCGTCCACCGCACTCTTCGCAGCTTCCCCTCCCTCGCCACACAACGCCTCGATAATGTAAACATTGAAGCGCCAGCAACCATGTTGAGCGCATTCGAATGCGTCTCGTTATAACATTCATAGATATCGAGCACACAAAGGATTAAATCTATAACTGGAATCAAAAGGGACGTATATTAAAAAAAATTACAATAAACTTGATGACCCATATTTTAAAGAAGATCATTGGGGTATCTATTATAATTATCTGTACTATTAAAAGGAACCCTAAATAGATACTCTTCTAAACAATTACTTCTGATGCGTCACACTCACTTGCCTGAACTGTTTTAAACGTACATGTAGGCGAGAGTCTTTATACCAATTGCAGCTATCTTTATGATTGCATGTCAACGCACTATTAATGTCTTAATTTACGAGATCAATTAACTATGCCTCTATTTATTTTTACGTACCATAGCGGCATAAATATCAAATAAAAACGAAAATAAATAGTACAAATGAATATTTGTTTAAAGGAAACATAACTTTAATATGTAATAAGTTAATATCATTCGTTTTTAATTGTTCACTAGCTGTTATCAGCGGCTTCACCTGAGCGGCCAAACGGAATTAACAATAAGTTTTTTATTATACACCAGAATATCTCACAGATGGCTGAATTTTTTCCTACTTAGTTGACACTTATCATTACCTATATTTTAGAAAATTCACACAATATCTTTATAAATCATAGCCTATGTGCTATTCTAATGTACCTACCTAGCGTCTATATTATTACAAGGTTTCATTAAAATCTATTCAGTAGTTTTTATGTGAAAGAGTAACAAATTATTGTATATAATTATTATATAAGTAAGGATTACTGACAAAATCATAAAATAAAAAATATAAAAAATCTTTCAGGGCATATGGTACACCTAATGTTAAGTGATTACTTGCCGCTACCTATGGCAACTAAGCACCTGACGACAATGGGTCCCGGTCGCCAGACAAAACGTGAAAGTATTTACTTCTACTTCAGACAGGTGTTCTGTAACGCCGTGGTATTTCACTGACGAGTTAAAACATTTATGATCCTCCTGTCGTTAATCATGTAACATTACCCCAGGCAGACCAATAGCCCGTTGTAACACTTGTACTCAATATCATGAAGTTTTTAATTGCTCCAAATAAACTGTCCCTGCCTATTTTGTTCATACTGTAAGAAAACTCATCTCCAGGATCCCATACTAAAAGTCGTGTCTAACCAAATACATAACTTCTATATTGCACTTCTACTTCTGCTCGCTTTCCCTTGGATATTCCTTTGCAAATACTGCAAGGATTAAACAACCTTAATTGCCTTCCCCGATGCATTATCATAATCCCAGTGCATCTATAGCAGAAACCCCAGCTTCTTCTCTATTTTATGGTACAAGTTCCTCTCGTAATAATTTTCAACGCTTATTAGTATGTTTTCCAGTTTATCTTAAAAATCAGATTCTATTAAATTTAAGCCAATAACAATTAATCAATTGAATTGGCGGAGAATTAGGAAAAAGGCAACAAACGCAGAAGTATAAAACTTTCACTTCACGCCGGTACTCTGTGAGACTGTGATACTTCAGACCTATCTATTCATGCAACAGCGAAGACTTGCAAAATAAGTAGATACCTAGTACAAAATTGTAGTATTTTTTTGTCATAATAAAGAAAACTAAGAAAATAACTAATTCAACAAATATCTATGCCACTGAGTTTTAATACAAGGTTTCATATGTCATATGATACCTTAAAATTATAGAAATTCAATTAAATAACGTTGTATACACTAGTTTAGTTTTTTTTTACACTAGTTTAATGGACCCTACTAATATTATATAAAAAGATATAAAACTAGTGCACCGAAATTTAGGCACTAAAGTTACACCAATTGGTGTAATTAGATTCCAATTCTATAGACAGCTATCTCTATCCGAATCGTATGTTCTATATCATGTCACATTAACTTATATATCAAAGGTACAGAATCAAGTGGTTATGTCGTAGTAAACAAAAATCACTGGATCTAAAAAAGGATATTTTTTGATCCAAACGCTTCACTATCAAATATTTAAATTAATTTAATAGTACATGGCGTTTTCAGCACTATGATATCTCACTCAATATTCATGCAAACTATTAAGCAAAAAAAACGTAAATAACATTTGGACGTAGTCAGTTTTGTTGCCAAGTACTGGGACATATCCAAGTTTGATACAAAGCTGTCAAAAATTAAGCAAATTTGATTCCAATATTTTACTCAGGGAGGGATTGAAGATTGAACTATTATTTAAGAAATAAAATAAAAATTTAATTATTTAGGTGATTTACACTATTTCTGATACACTGAACATCGTAGAAGAATGATCTTCTTAATGATCAGAATGATTTTTTTTTATGTAAAAAGGTGCCATACGAGCAGACCGTTCACCTGTTTTTAAGTGAATACCGCTGCCCATGGACATCTGCTACACCCGAGGGTTACCGAGGCGTGACAACCTTTTGAAAATTGAGCTCCGGCTACCTCACTCACCAGACGAAACGCGAAAGTATTTGTCATACTTCCACTTTACGCTGACGCTTTATGATCAATTCAAAGAGTTTATCAATCCTTTTGGCAACTGAAATAAGATTGAAAAGCCATTTGACAACTGTTGACTTTTACGATTTACGATGATCAGTGTTTCAGAAACCGGGCCTTAGAATCTAACAAACCTAACGTAACCTAACCTTAGAAAATGCCCTTTTATCCCTGTTTTCAGGGAATGAAAAATATCACTCAAATAGGACGGTAAATTTCAGCGAAAAAAAAATGTTATAATAGCTCGGTCGGTGATCGGGCGGCCCCGAAAGAGAAAGCCGTGGTTCGTGTCACGATTATATACATACTTATTTTTTTACTTTTTTTCGATTCCAGATCATTGCTTTCTTTGTTTCTTCATTCATTTTTGTCCATCCAGATGATTTTATTCTTTTTTCCCTTTTTTTTTAGTTCTTTCTTTTGTGAAAAACACCAGTTGATATTTTCTTATTATTACGTCGGTAAGATCGAAAAATATTATGCATATTTCATTACTTAGTAATTTGTATCTAAATGTAATTTCCAAAATACACGATTTACCAAAAAAAAAAAAAAAAAACTTAAAACTTAAACTAAGGTACATGTGGTACTTCTTCTCTGGGTTCGCATTCCAGTTCTTCCACGTCATTTTACTTGATTGGTTAAGGTATCAAAATTGTACACAACATATGAATAACAATTTAATTTCTCAAGATCCTGACAGTTTCCTCGAAAATGTTTTAAGTAGGTCTTTACGTCCCTTATTTTTAAAGCTCTAGCCGTTGTTTGGAATAAAAAAAAATAGAATATTTGTAGTTTGTTTTCTTATGTTTTCTTCGCTGGGCAAATATTTTGCGGGCAAAATTATTGCGGATAGAATTTTGGCTACGGGAATAAAGCGGTCCAGAAAACTCTAGTTTATGTCTAAACGCATGTAATGCTGTATTTAGGTCCCTGTATATGTGACTCTTATGATATCCTCGTTTTTCTAAAGCAAATTTGCCAATTTCAAAACTTCACACATAAATACGTTACCATGCGTCCCTTCTTCAAAGAGATAGCTGCTAAAATCATTTTCTGAACACATGTACCTACATATTGTTTGCTGACTTTTACATGGTATATGGCTTGGTAGCATTATAAACATCAAATTTATTTTGATATTTCTCTAAATAAATAAAAAAACATATTAATTAAAAACTAAGTAGGCAAATACACTTATCACTAAAGTAATAACAAAACTATTAAAGAAACAAAAAGAATAACTTAAATAATTTTTATTAAGCTACCATAATAGCATTTTGTTCAAAACTTTCGCGACCTCCAGAGAAACCAGCGCAGGTCTCGTACTAATGTTCTTAATATGGGTTCTTAATTACATGTGGGCGTCGAAGGTGGTCCCCGAATAGTGTGGAAGTTTATCAGGCCATTTTTGCACTCTATTCGATAGCAAAAAGAGCGACATGATAACTTGAATAGTATGAACGAGCCTGTCTGAGACATTGTGTGCGAACAATTTGTACTGGTACAGCAAGCCATTGTGCCATAAACATTCGAGGTTGACGTGAAGCTGCTTCTCTGTGCAAGGGTATTAGGGCATAGTGTAGTACGCGACCCTACTTCACATATTTTCGAAGGATAATTTTTTGTAGTTATTTTGAAAAAATGCAGGTTTCCTCACAATGTTTTCCTGCGCCGCTGAGCACCTGATGAGTCAGCACTTAAAATTAACAATTTCATTTTAACTGAGAATACTCGACTACAATAATAAATTTAAAGGGAGCGACGGGATACTGAACTATTACGGCTCCCATGGTCCCTATCTGTTATTAAGATGTCCAGCAAGTATAACGGAGGGACCTAGATTAGGTAGCGATTCGTCTCCTTTAAAAAGGGTTTAGTTCGTCAATGATCAGATTATAGACCAGAAAATATGACCAGAAGTTGACCATCCCGGCAATGTTCAACGATAATACAAATCCATTGAGAAGAATTGTCGTCTGCGAAGATATAATTCGACAGGCGGTTAGTTCAGCAAGTTCACATTAGGTTAGCTAAATAATCGGCAACAAAGTTCGAAGAAAGCGAAAGCGGCAGGCGTTGCACGTGAGGCCGATGGGATTGTTGTGAACGGCGTTCGTGGCATCGGTCAGACGACCATATTACTTTTAAAATGGATGGGAGTTTGACCTTCCTTTATTAGGCCTCGGCAGTTCGGAATTTCAATTGATCGCAATCAATGTTGTGTCCGTAAAATTTGCAGCTGTATTGAGCCATAAAATAACTGCAAAACTTAAGATGTTTTTATATTTTTTTTTTATATTCAAAACCAAATTACCAAAAGAATTCATTTAAAAGCAGATTCAAAATAAAAAAGAATGGAAATACATATTTTTTTTTATTTATTTAAATAATTTTATTTTATTTATTGTCTTTTTTTCAAATAGGTACTTGTCTATTATATAAAGAGGAAAGATTTGATTGTTTGTATGTATCGAATAGGCTCCGAAACTACTTAACCGATTTGAAAAATTCTTTCAGTGTTAAGAAGCTACATTATCCCTGCTTGACATAGGCCATATAATATTTTCAAAAAATTAGGGATCCTTACTAAAACTCCAATAATGTTACTCAAAGTGTACAAAAATTACCTAAAATATTCTTTACATCGCGTGCGCTGCGAAAACTATTGATGATAGAATAAAGTAATGTACTACGACTTTGCAGACCACATCATTATTTACAAAAAGTGTCGCGACAGCATATGTCTAACTATTATAGTTATGCCACAATAAGTGTTCTTTTATTTTAAAATTTTGATTGAAATGCCGCCGGTAACAAAGGCTGTTTATTTGTATATCGGTATTAATCCTTATAAAAATAAATTATTTCATATTTAATATTGTTTCAATATGTTTATATAACTTTTTGAATTATTGAATTCGGACATTTCATTCGAAAGATATCACAAGTTTAAAAATGTTAGTATTTTGTAATTTAACTATCCAAACAGCTTAGTGACAGACTTAGTAGTTCTTATAATTTTTCAATCACGTTTATAGTGGTAATTTCTGTTCAAGAGTTTAATTTATTTTATCATTCTAAATTGCCCAAAAGGTCAAGATCTCATCTTTCTAGAAATAGTTCCCAGGCGAGGGCATCAAAAATACGTTGTAATGAGGAATCTTTACCGGAAACTAAAAATCGTCTTACAAGTCGGAGAGAGTCAAGTAGAGTGTTTGCAGCAGCTTGAAGAGCAAATTATTATTAATATAAATATACAAATTCCCACTAGGGAATCGATCTCTGAGCGTTCCTTCGCCTATGACATTAGAGAGAAAGACAACAAACGTCAACGACTAGAGTTCGTAATCGAGTTTTAGCTCACAGTAACAGATCAGCTTTCTTGCATTATGCTCAACATTCTTCCGTCCAAATCGGGGTCACGAATAAGATCTGCCAAAAGATTGGGAAAATGGGTTGATGAACCAAATGGTATGTGCTGTGCTTCTGGAAAAGTTAGTCTCCCCAATATTGAGGAGCCGCCAGAGCCAATAATAATCTTTTGACAAATAATCATTCAGCCTCTGGACATTTTTAAGCACCATTCCAAAGAACAATAGCCTCTTTCAAATGACATCGTTTGACGCGAACTTTTAAAATAGACGGACAAGTATACAAGTCATCATCATCCTCCTGTCCCTATCCCACCTAGGTGGGGTCGGAACAACATGAATCATGTTTTAAGCGGTTTAGGCCATATTTTTACAACCAGCCGCCTGCCTGACGTTAAACCTCCTTAGGAAACAAACACCCAGATCAAATTTCAACTGTGTAACTATCACGGTTCATGAGATACAGCCTGTTGACAGAGGGACAGACAGACAGCAGAGTCTTAGTAATAGGGTCCCATTTTACCCTTTGGGTACCGAACCCTAAAAAGGCCCCAGAGATATAGTGCTGCACGGTAGACATGGCCATCTTAAAGGGGTCTCTGAGTTACACCGATTTCATGATCCATTACAATATCCCTTAATCGTCGTAATGAAAGAAGACTATTATTAATTGACTATTCCTCAGTAAGGTACAGTGCGTAAAAACTGTGACATGCATGCAATTTAATGCATTTAGGTTGATGGTTAGCTACCTGTTTTAATAATCCATTGCATTATTACAGTGACTTGTTAGGGTTCCGTACCCAAAGGGTAAAATGGCACCCTATTACTAAGACTCTGCTGTGTGTCAGTCTGTCCGTGTGTCTGTCCATATTTCACCAGGCTGTATCTCATGAACCATACATAGTTAGAACATAGACAGTTGAAAATTTCACAAACGATGTATTTCTGTTGCTGCTATAACAACAAATAGGAAAATCAAAAAAATATAACTAAGTGGGGCTACCATAAAACAGACATGATTTTTTGCCGTTTTTATAGATAATGTTTATAGTAGTAGTGTTTTTTTGACAATAAGTAAGCGTAATACTTTTATATTGAATAAAGATATTTAAATTTGATTTTTTTTATGTGACAAAGTGGCAAACAAGCTGGCGGTTCACCTGATGCTAAGTGATAACCGCTGCTGTGTAGGGCAATGCATTTGCAATACCTGTAGGGTTGCAAATGCGTTGCCATCTTTAAATAAAGTGGGCCCCGGCTACCTCTCTCACCAGACGAAATGGAGAAATATAACACTTCTACTTTACGCTGGTATTCTGTGAGGTCGTGGTACTTACCCGGACGGACCTGCCCATTCGTTCAACAGTGAATACTATTGCGTGGACCCTACCACAGTGAAATTACTACCAAATGGAATGGTACGAAACCCTTCGTGTGAGAGTCCGACTCGCATTTGGCCGGTTTTTATTCAATACATTGTCGATATGATGTGAAAAATGATACCAGAAAGATTGAATTACATCATCATCATCATCATCATTTCAGCCTATTTGAGTCCACTGCTGAAGATAGACTCCCCCACAGACTGTCATATTAAATATTAAATACATACATTGAATTACATATTATGTCGTAATGTCCAGAGACTGGGGCTGGTGAAACATTCATCTTAGAGACGCTTTAAATCAAGACTTTGACCCATCAAATATCGTTCAACGCTAAATCTGCAACATATTCATTTACAGGTTCTCCAAGTTATCTGCATTAAAAAACCAAGATGCGATGATTTATTTTCGAAGCTATGGGAGACCAGACTTATTTGTCACTTTTACGTGTAACCCCGAATGTCCCTTAAATTAAGTGGAAGTATTATCTGGTCAGCGGTCTTTTGATCTTCATGACGTAATTTCAAGGGTATTTCTTTAAAAGATGAAGAAATTCATAAAATTATTCACCAAAGACGAAATATTCGGAAGGTTTTATGTATTTGTGTGATAATTCTTAATTTTAAAATATTTGTTAAATACCCGTGCGAAGCCGGGGCGGGCCGCTAGTATCTAAAATAAGTGACATATTTTCATAAAAATAGTAAATAATAGAATATCGTGTTACGAGTCAATTTATTTATTTATGTTCCATTACCTAATGTTTTACACTCTTAAAACAATTTTCCATTTCTAACTTTTTATTTTACATATTTTTCCATGAACTTTTTGTGAAACTCTGACCTTAAAGAGTCGTTAATGAAGGTATTTAATTTCTTGTCGGGCTCCGAACGTGCACAATTTTTGAACACCACATCGTCATCCCATCGCCTTTTAACCTGTAAAATCCGAGTCCAATATATATTAAATCAAGAAATCAATTATTGTAACCTTGAAAGCAAACAAGTAGTCGCCCAATAGTCGAATATTACACTACCATTTTCTGCTTTCGTGGTACTTTACCGGACGAGCCTGGCCATACAAGGCAACTGTATTTGGGCACAACTTTTAGTTTCCTTCATTTCTTCGCCATATAAGCAGTAAATTTGTCAAATCCCACGCTTCTTAGTGCGCGAAATATTCTTAAATTAGTTGTTTCATGTATTACTTAAGATTTCAAAATATTCGCTTGGTATTACTTTCCGTCATTTGAATGTTACATACAAAAATGGATATAATTATTTACCTTTAAATCACTTTTTTGCCCTGCAGCAGAATAATTTAATAAGGGATTTCCAGAAAGAATGTTTTCCATACGAATTCTCTCTTCTTCTTGTTTTTTCTCAGCCTCCTGTAAATTAATAAAAAAAAAATACAGGTTTATTTATCCATATAGCAAACAAGTTAATGCCCAATCATTTTTTCAATACCTCTCTATTGTTTAAGTATTTTTTATAAGAAACGTAAGGTTTCTTAAAAAATTGGGTGTGTGATTGTTTTATACTATGTAGTGAAGTGCTGACTTATCACGTGCTCAACGGTGAAGGAAAACGTCGTGAGGAAACCTGCATATTTTCCAATTTATAATTTATGAATAAAATTACTACTACTGCTAATCAGGGGTGTAGCTATGGAAGTAGCAATGAAAGGAGAGCCCCGATGTGCAGACGCTCCGAACGGTAGAGAGCAAAATTTCCACAATCTCACTTAAACTCTTAGGTCGTACTTTCCGCCGCCGCATGAAAATAATGACTTAAAGGAAGCAAGTACTCTTTTACATAAATAAACTGAGCAATATAAGAAATAAAAATTCATCAGATGTACGCTTAACAAGTTCAGAGATCGTTGTTACCCCCACAAAATACTACGGGTAACAAATTATTTCAAAAATAAAAGACTGAACATAAAGAAGAATTTTAGACCCGGAATCGTATTTCAAAGTCAATGTGTTCTATTACTGTTTAAATACATTAATTTCTCAAACTCAACAAACATTTTAGACCTCTGTGAACCGAGTAATAAGATCAAATTTTTACCGGGGAAACTTTTTTTTTCAAACGAAATAATAAAAAAGGACGCCGAAAACGATCTGTTAAAAACAGTAAAGACATGTCAGTTGATATGTATGACCTATTGCTTTGAAAATATGGTTAAAATCTAAAAGTCAGAATAAACATTTTAAACATTCCATTATGGATGGATTCATGGAATTATTATTGATAAAATTCAAAAACCTTTTATCGTTTTCTAGAGGTAATATAGTCTAGTTAATGAGTGCCTTTTAGGTCAAAATTTTTTCACCTTTTCCGAAATTTATGAATGAGGTCATTCGATTCGGAATGGCATGTAGATAGTTTTTGAAAAAAAGCTAAGGCCGTTCGCAAAAATTGCAATAGTTATAAACAATTAAGTGAAAAAAAAATGGGGATTTAATTTTTCGCCAATATCTCAAAAACTATTCGAGATAATTCAAGTTTGAGAAGACAAAGAAATTTCCTAAAAAAATGTCCCGACTCCCGGAACTATAGGACCAATATTTATAATTTTCCCAGAGGGTTGAAAATACGTCCGACGGGCCTGCGCAAGCCACGTCCCCTTCGGACCTTTAATGAATAAATATTTTTTAAACTTATTGAATATGGAAATAAAAATTGAAAAAATTCAGGCGCCTGCAGGATAGAGCAATGAACATTAATCTAAAATATTAATATAAGAATTTTTCCTTTCTTGGAGCTATTTTTCAAAGGTCTAAGAATAGTTCGTAAAATAGGTTATTTAGCCTCTGCTAAAATACTGATTCGAGAGTTTTATAGTAAAGCAAGCGAAAGTTAAGTTAAATAAATATCTTAATTTTAATTGTAGTTTTTAGTATAGAACGCTGTGTTCACTTTTTTAGAATGTGCATTATCTGTATTCCTATATTAATTTTAGTAACTAAGTTCTTATTAAATGAATCATTCAGTTTGTGAACCAAATAAAAAAAAATAGTTTCCCGTTGGAAAAGTTAAAAAATTGTTAATTATCGTTTTTTTTTTATTTACTAAGGTAAAAAGTTTGAAGCTTCTAATTTTTAAACTATTAATTATTTGTTAAACTATTAATCTGAGAATTTTTTCCTATCTTGGAGCTATTTTTCAACTGTCTTAGAATAGATTCCTGTCAGAAAAATTACAAAAATTGTTAATTTTCGTTTTTTTATTAACAATTTACTAAGGTAAAAAATTACAAAGCTTCTAATAATTCATGAGTATCATAATTCATAAAACAGTTAAATAAAATAAAAACTGCTTTAGCCTAAATAATAAAATAATTAGTTCCTACTGATATCTATAAAATTTTTTGATTAAAACATAACTAGAATTACGTCGCTCATAAAAAAGTTGATTATGTTCTCTACCACTGTACATTAAAGTGAAAAAATTGTATGTACCTTTTTTGCCTGTTCTATAGCACGCTCTTTCTTTATTTTATTTAACTCAGCCAATAGAGCTGCAGTATCATCATCCGAGTCATCAGAATCTGTTGAATCTCCTTCTAATGGATCATCTGCATCTAAGCTGGCAGCAGGAACTTGGTCTATTTTTAATCTTTTTGCTGGTGGTTCATTTTGCCTTCTTACTGCAGGACCTTTGCTATCTTTTTCTCTCTCATCTAATTCTTTACGAAAATCTCTGGAGCGGAGTTCCTCAGTGGTACCTTGACCTTGTTCTCTGAAATGAAAATAATTCAAATGCTACATTTGGTAAAATATCTATTTAAAAATTACTAATACTAATAATCTGTTCACACGGTCAAATAATTTTTCACTTAACACAAAATATCATTTAATTAAAATTCAAAATTTTTCCTCAATTTCGCTTTATGCCATTACTTCCCAAAATTTGATCCTTTTTATCAACAGTAACTAATGGTATAGAAATAATAAAATACAGTAAGTCATTTATTCTCAAAATCAAAGGGTTTGAAGTATGGCTTTTAATTTTTAATACAAATCAGCCCCGCTTCGCCTTTAAGTACTTTTCAATATTATTCAGTCTCAGATTAGTTCATTCACCCCCACTTAAAAACTCACCCAGCACAAATAATATCTTATCAATAAATATTTTTTGTAAAAGAGCAAAAAAAATATGTATTCATCTTGATGACATATTCCATGTGACCATTGTTTTCAAAACTAATAAAAAAAATATAATAGGTGGAGTCCCCCAAGTACCGGAAGATTTTAATGAACGAAAAATGGAATAATTGTGTTTTATTATGATACTTAACGTTTTAGTTTAAGGAATCATACATAGCATTAAAATAAATCAAAAAAGATGAAGATTGATTTTGGATTTTTATTTTGGAACCTAGTACTGGACAAGTATAAATTCAAACACATATGACTGGACAGAAACTGGTAATTACAGGTTTACAAAAAATTTAATTTACACAATTATTATAAAAAAATCTAATTATTGATTTATTACATTTTAACAAATGTAAAAATAAGTGACGTTTTTTTACTTCTTCAAGAATTTTAAATGGTTTACAGAACATTTTTATTCATTTAAACACAATGTTACACAATTATTGATTGAGATAATAAGTAATAATAACAGTCTCAAAAAAAATATTTACAACGATCACAAACATAAATATCCGAACACTCTGGGATATCCGCACAGGATTCATGAGCGCATTCTTAACAGTGCCCACACTGTATTCAGTCCTGGTCGTAGTCTTCGCAACAGACAACACATTTAATACTTCTCCAGCTGTTTTTCAGTAGGTTTTAGTTTCGATTTTTATTTTTGTTTTATCATTTTGAATTAAACATAACTATAATTAGTCACGAAAACATAAGTTTTCATTTTCTTTCTCTCCCAGTCCCAGATGGGTATGGATACCTTATTTCTTCATCTCCATTATAACAAATGACCTGAAAAGATTAATAACACCATTACAATATACATATAAAAAATGGGTGCGTGTGCTTATGTACGCGCGTGAGAAGTTATACTTCTTTGGCATCACTAAAATATAGTTTTTAGTTGCACGCAAATAATTAATTACAAAAAGAAGACTGAAAAAGGATATAAATAATAATAATAAAATTATGAAAGCGCCATCTACATTCTTATTTGGGCGAATGTGATTGAGAATATGCTGCCATAATATCTATAATAAGCGTTTAAGCACTTAGCATTAATATTAATAAGCACGATATAAAATGTAGTACATGGGGAGTATATGCAGGCGAAAACCTAGTTAAGCATATAACCGGCACACTTTTTCAAAATATATTTGTCCGGTAATAGGGAATCTGTAAATGTCCCCATTTACCGGGAATAACGAACAGTAAGACAGTTCCGATTACCAAAAATTCATTAATAAATCCACAAAAAAATAATATCAAAGTAAAGCGTACTTACCAATGATCGAATCAAAAGCACCACACACGATTAAATCACTTCAAAAATATAATCTATGACGTTATGAATATTACTCGATGAACAAATTTGTGTGCAAAATTACTAATGTGTAACATGTAAGTTATATCGAACGAATATCTCTCGCGCTGGCGGGGGCGATTTGACCATTGAGTGCGTTATTTAGAATTTCGACGTGTTTTGTCCAGTACTAGGTGCTGTCCGGAGTAACAAATGTTGATGATAAGAATATCATGATGGTAAATTAATAAAAAAGAAAACTAGTATTGAAATTGATTTCTGTTTTTTATTATTTAATTTCGTAGGCACATTCTGGTATCATATTATTAAAGAAAATAAATAAACTTAAAAAAAATCCCCTAAATCACTCACACATATATGGTAAGATATACGTGGGGTGGAGTCCCATCGTTATTCTAGTCCATACTAACAAATCTTGATTTTTAAAGCTAAAGCTTTCAAATGCTCATGCATTTGTGGTATTTGTTCATGCATTTAAATGTTTTTAAATTAAAATAATTATAGCATAAAAACTATCCCATCTAACATATAAGCTTTAATCATTCAAAATTGTTTGTCAAATGCTTTGCATAATAGTGCCCTATCCTCATGAGCTGGGTAAGATATTATTGTTTAAATCCACCTGCAGTTCCTAGCATATTATGATGAATAAAGTAATGAAATATAAAAATAGATTGTTTTATTTTAAAAACATTTTTAAAATCCATTAAATTATTTTTTGTAGAAACACCTGGATTCAAAAAAATATAATCATACTATATCCTGCTAGTTCGAGCTAATCTAATATATAAAATTCTCGTGTCACGGGGTTCGAACTTGAACTCCTCCGAAACGGCTCGACCGATTTTTGTGATCCTTAGCGTGATTGCGGGCCAGGGTGGAGAATCAGCCAACATCTATTTTTCATCCCCCTAAATGTTAAGGGTAGTCCACCCCTAATTTTTTTATTTTTATTTTTTAGGCAAAATTTTTTGTTTTTATTTTTTTATGACACAGCATACAAAAATACATACAACCCTAAATTTTCACCCCTCTACGCAGACGTAGTCGCGGGCAGCAGCTAGTAATTTTATAGAAATAGATGTCATTTTCACTTTATGTGACTATTCACTGGGGCCATAACAACCAATAAGCGCTGCCCTGTTATCGTAAAGTTACAGCTGCAATGCAAAACATTCATTTTTAATATTAGCTATAATTTTAATTTGATTTGAATGTTGTAATAGGAAAAAAATTAAGCGTTGGTTCATTAATTGGTAGTGAATCAAGCTAGTTGAGATGTTTCATTTATAAGTGTTAGCTGCTCTTTATGCTATTTTATGCAAAATATTATAAGAGCTTGGAGTGAAGTATGGCAAATAGTCAGTTGGGCTTCAGAGGCAAACAATGGTCTGATTGAAACATTTTTAGCTAACACCATACCTTGGTTTTAAATACTGTTGCAATTGAGATTTAAACCTGTTTTGACTCTTGATCATTTATTCTTATTTATCTTTTGTTAGCTGTCTATATGATTTACTTCTACTTCTTATGTCACATGGTTACTAACTCTTATTTATACCCATTTATTCAAACTCTTGAAAATTAATAGAAAGCTCTACTTTGAATGTATATATATTATGTTTTAGGGTAATGGAATGGAAGTATCTACATTTAGCCTTTTCTTTTTTTGCAAGCCAGGGTACAGTCATGATACCGCCAAGGAGAGGATGGGACATTTTTTTAAAAAGGTGTTTTTGTTAACAACTAACCTGTATTTTAACTTTGTATGACCTGGAAGATCTCTACTTGAATATTGGCGTGATATAGCACTTAAGTCTTTTTCTCCACGGCCTTGTCCACCTCTGGCCGGATCAAATGTTGGTCTTGCAGCCGTGGTCATATTTCAAATCTGAAAAATCGAATTAGATTAGATAGATAGATTTTATAAAAATATCAATAAGGTTTTTAAATTTATTTCTACTTGTGGTTGAAATCTGACCATAATTAATAATTGACAAGGTAGTATTTGTAATGTTTGTTATTGATTTAATGTATTTTTCATACATAGTTTTAAAGAAATATGGGTAAAATTTTGAAACGAATCGCCTTCGTAGGGGGTAGGTGGGGAAAGGGGGGGTGATGTAATGAGTCACCCACACTTAACCACAGATGTTCTAATGGATAGTCATAAAAAAATAACCACGAAGGTTAAGGTGGTTATTTTTTTATAACCTCCCGCCTGAACCTTGTAACCTAATCTGTCTGAATCGGATTGCTCTGTGTCGGATCAGCAACTCGTTTAATTTAAAAAAAATTTGATCTAACAAACAGTACGAAAGTCTCCCACTTACTATATTTATCATGTTGGCAGTACTGTGTATTCAGTTTTATTTAAATTAGTAAAATGTTCGTACTTTCTTAGTGAAAATAACAAGTTTTAAATATTTTTTTTCTCATAAACTGAATGCGACTGGAGAATTCTGCTTGTTGATTAATGCATTAGTGATTTTTCTCTATCGTTTTTATTTTTTGTTTTTTTGCATCCTCGAAAACACTGAAATTTATCCAAATTACGTACCATTTCACATTTCATAAGATTTTTAAATTTAAAAAAATCACTTAATAATTTTTTTAGGGCGCTCCGGCAGAAAAAATGCGTTAAAGTGCTTGCTACGAACGTCCTTAACCCCCCCAAACTTACAGTGTACTTAAATTCGGGTGACTTAATTCAAAACCCAACCCAGAAATATTAGAATTCTGCACTCCTTCTCTATATAAACTTAAAGTGTGGGAAATTCCACAATCATCCATCTGCACAATATTCGTAAAAAGGGATACCTAGATTACTGATATGATTCACATATTAATATATGTATAGAAGTTAAGTAGCAATGTTATGTGAACCGAATTAAGTTTTAGTAATCATTTTCGACAAGGCAAAAATAACGTAACGAAACTGAGACGACTGAAATTAACATCTAACCCAATGAATGACAGAAGTGTGTAAATTATAAAATAATAGATTTATTATACATAACACTAAGCTTAATTTTGTGCTTCGCATTTTGAAATTATTTTATCTAAAAATATGTGTATGATCTAACTTGTTGGGTTTTTCAAACCTTTAATAGAATTTGAAAGTTAGAAGAATTTTTATTTTGTTAAAGTTGTAGTGGTGGGTGTTCTTTTCCTAAGCCAAGAATAAAACAACACTATACAACAAAAGAAAATAGGATAATTTACAATAACACTAATTTACAATTATATGCATACACATACTATATTTCTATTTCCATGTATTGTCTTCTTCTTCTTATTTTTATTAGTGGCTTGCTTTGTGTGACTCTGAATACCAACACAAATCAATGACAAATTCCGATTTCCGCTAACAACGCCATTGTGTGTCTTTTGAAATTTGAATGAAGGTTCTAGGGATGTGAAAAAAAATCGATTTTCATATTAATCAACTATTTTTATTCTCATAATCGATTTAGAAAAACGATTTTTTTTTTTTTTTTTCAATAATAAAAATCGATTACATAAACACTATAAAAGTTTAATTGATTTGTCAATCAGTTGCGTAACTTTTGAACAGATTCGATTCTAATAAAATATGTAATGACATTGTATATTTGTAACAAAAACTATTTAAGTTTTTTTATTGTTTAAAGTTTAATATTTTAAAGACATTTGTTTTGTAGTTTAGCTAAGAAACCTGAAGGTTGTGAATTTTAATTGACTTTGATATTGATAAATTGTTAACATTATACTATTTATCATAGTTTTAATGCTATACAGGAATTTTTCGAACCATCATCATCATAATCATTTCTTTTTTTTTTATGTGAAAAGTTGCCAAACGAGCAGACAGTTCACCTGATGTTAAGTGAATACCGCCGCCTATGGACATCTGCTACACTCGAGGGTTCCAGATGTGTTGACAACCTTTTCGAAATTGGGCTCCGGCCACCTCACTCACCAGACGAAACGCGAAAGTCTTATACTTCCACTTTACGCCGGTCTTCTGTGAGGTCGTGGTACTTACCCGGACGAGCCTGCCCATTCGTACAACAGCCGAGGCTACTGCGTTGCCCTACCACCAGCCTTTCTTTCAGCCTCTTTGAATCCACTGCTGAATATACTGCCACGAAGCACGACCCTGAGCCACCTGCATCCATAGACTTCCCGCTGACTTGCACAGGTCATCATTCCATCTATAAGGGGTCGTCGTACCCTGTGATAGTCAGTAAGAACCTGCCACTCGAGAACCTTTCTTCCAATTGTTTAAAATTTAGTGTGTTAAGTGCGTAAGTGCTTAAACTTTTTTTTCAGTGCTCTCATAATCTGTTACATACGAAGCCCAGGCATATTAGCAGGTTCATGGAAACGCTTTCTCATCAGGATGTACAAACGTTCCCGTTCCAGTGCTTACCGTCCCAGCAGCTTTCCCTCAGGGAGCAACCCCCACTCCTCTAGGTAAGGTGCTAAGGAACATAAAACGCACATACCTACTCGTCTCTTTTGTTTGGGCAACTGACTCCCTCGAGTTCGCTGCCCAGAGACCATGGGAGCCGGAAGAGCCATTTTTATTGAGCAATAAGCCTCCCCGCCCCCGCCTTGAACCTGGTCTGTTTCCGGCCCTCTCCACGTTTCGGCCGAGAAGGATAGGAAGTACGGCACACCGTGCTAGTGACGGAGTTGGAGAATGGTTCCTTAGAAATAGGAATCCCCGTCCCATTTTCCCGGCAAATGCTAATAGTCACATTATACTGCAAACAAACATGGAACAGCAGAAAGAAATAATCGTATGCTCCTCGAAAATTCACGATCAATGATAATTAATGCTAAAGTACCATTACACTTCTGGGCGGAAGTGATATTTATTGCGCATTATCTATCTATTAGAATATTAATAAATCTATAAATCAAACAACAATTATAGTTAGGCATTTGGGGAAAACGTACGTCTTAATAAAACAAAAAACAAATACTTTTTACCTACATAAAACAATTTTTAGAGTGTATATATAACAATTTTGCGTAAAACGCAATTCTTAGCATATTTCCAGTGCATTTTGAGGTTTCGAAAGCTTTTAGAATAGTTTTACTTTCTAGAACAATTTAATTGCATCCAAAGATGAAAATATGTAGAAAAAGTACGAAAAGACTCATCAAAGATCAGCTGTTTAGCTCAGTGGCTAGAGCGTCAGTTCGATTCCCACAATGGTGACAGTTTTTTCGTGCTTTTTCTACATATTTTAATGTTCAATCTTAAGTGCAAAGATTAGCACTATAAACAATTTAAATTGCATCCAAAGATGCTGCAAAATAATTTCTCTAGTTTGCGACATTCAAACAATTGATATTTGTTTTAATTTGAAGGTGTGTAGACATAAATCGTCAAAAACAGTTGGTGATGTATTGATATCACCAACTTAAGTTATAAAACGCCGTAAAAAAAGCAGCAAATTTGATTAAAATAATCTGAAACTCAAAGCGATTTGAACTGCAATTTAATTTAAAACAATACCTGGCGACACTGAGAATCGACAACATTATGCATTACTCTTGCATTAGGCAACATCAACAATATTTTCAGGAAACGAATAGAGGAAACTCATAACGATATATTGTGTGATATTCTGGAATATAATACTGTATTACTAAAATAGAGGCCATTCTTTGTCCCTAACGAATCTTAATATCATCAGATATAAACATTCAAGGTAGGTGTTAATATTACGGTTCTTCAAAAATATTTATTTGTTAAAATAGTGTTTGCCCAATGATTTGATTAAACGATATAACCAACCAACGCCATTTTGTTTTATGTCCATCCTTGCTTAGGTTACAAATTATATTCAGAACTAGTATTATAGGTTCTATTTCTTGTAAATTTTGCTTTTTTACATTTTTTTATATTTATCTACTGTTCTGCCGCATAATTTACAATTCTAATAATACCAGTCATAATTGAAATTCACAGAATGGCAGAAGATTTGGATGTAGAGGCTATGCTTGAAGCCCCATATAATAAATCGGTAAGTCATAGGTGCTAAAGACGCCAATTTTTATTGATAATCGTTTATCTTTTTAAATTTCTAGTTTAAATTTAATGTGTATTCAATAATTGAAGATTCTTAGTATTCGTTAGTGTAATAGTAGATAATTGTTAGGCATTGTAGAAATGTTTGAAGTATATGTAGTAATATGATGATTGGACGATAATGTTACTTTTATACATTCAATCTTAATTATTATAAGCGAAAACTTCGAAAAATGGATTATATTTCCTGCATAGAAACAAATGAGGATGTTATCAAGTACAAAATTCTTTTGATTAATTCAAGAAGCCCGTTTTCATAACTAGCCATTCGAAATATGTATATGGAAAGGTATCTCTTAAATCCATACTAAAATCCTATACATTTGTAATACATTGAAGTTAAATGAATGGGAATAGAAAAGAAACATTATATAATTTCCATATATTAGCAATACATTTCTAAAAGCACAAATTGGGCAGCCTGTAATATTAATAGATTACCCAAATAACTTCAGTTTGGTAGGGTTTAAAATAATCGCATTTAAAAATATATTTTTTTTATAAGAACTGTCAAACAAAATTACATTTGAGAATCATTTCTTATATTTATAGAACTTTGTGGTAATTGTCCAGCATACTTCATCGACCTGAACCAAAAAGAGGTATCCACTAATATAATTAATTTTTTTTATTTACCATTTCCTGATATGCATATATTTAAAGATCTCTTTTGTATCTGCTAGAAACAACAAAATATAATACAGTCAATATTGGAGAAGACCACACTCTTATGGGTCATAAATCTTTTGCAGAAGTATCCCTGTGTGATGTTAGCGCTGTGTACACCTTTAGTCAATGGTTTACTGAACGGTAAGTGACCAGGGAACAGAGAAATACAACCAAAAATCAGACAAACCCATTGCAAAAAGGCAGCTCTCAACAATAGTCTAGGCAAAGTACAAAAAAAACCATTTGTGAGGTTTCATTACTTGACAGTAAAACCTTAGTAGTGTAATGGAACTTCATAGATGCTTTTTGTATTATTATTATAAAATAACTAATGCAATTTTATTTATTCACTCGGCGTGTGTTGCTGTGGCGCTGCTTCTACCTTGTGCTTTGTGTGACAGGATAACACTTCCTCTTCAAAGCATCGTTCGGACAAGCACTCTGATAAGCACAGAGATAGGGAAAAGGATGGCAGTCGAAGGTAATTGAGAATATTGTTTTGAAATTAAGAAAAAAAAGTTATTGTGTTAATGTTGTAATTATTTTTTTATTTCTAACATGATTTTTTTTGATAGGCGCAGTAGGTCAAGAGATAGAAGAAGATCGCGTGAAAGGGATTCTCGCCGCTCAAGGGATAGAGACGAAAAAAGAAATAAGGAAAAAGATAGGGATCGAGAGCGAAAGGACCGTGACAAAGATCGCAATGATCGAAACCATAAAGATAAAGATAGAGACAAAGATAAAGAACGGGAAAGAGAAAGAGATAGGGAGAAAAGACGTAGTGGTGATAAGGAGCGTAGTAAAGAAAGAGAACGTAGTCGCGACAGGCACAACAGACGTGAGAGAAGTCGTGAAATAGAACCAAATAAAGAATATCGCTCAAAATCTAGAGGTGTCGAGCCTAAATTGGAAGACTTACCTCCAGAAGAACGAGATTTACGAACAGTTTTTTGTATGCAATTATCTCAACGCATACGAGCAAAAGATCTTGAAGAGTTCTTTTCCTCCGTTGGTAAAGTACGAGATGTTAGACTTATCACATGCAACAAAACGAGAAGGTTTAAGGGTATAGCATATATAGAATTTAAAGATGCAGAGTCGGTGCCTTTAGTAAGTTATATTAGGCTAATGATACAAATATTCAGTATTTATGTTTAGTAGACACTATAAAATTGTGTTTTTTCTTTATAGGCATTAGGCTTAACTGGACAAAAATTACTTGGGGTTCCAATAATAGTTCAACATACACAAGCTGAGAAAAACAGAGTTGGCAACACTCTGCCAAACTTAGCTCCAAAGACCAGTAACGGCCCAACAAGACTTTATGTTGGTTCATTGCACTTTAACATTACTGAAGACATGTTAAGAGGTATTTTTGAGCCTTTTGGAAAAATTGATCACATTCAGCTTATGACAGACCCAGAAACAGGCAAAAGTAAAGGATATGGTTTTCTCACGGTTTGTAAATTTATTGTTTATGACCAATATTTAAATTATTATATAAGTTTTTTTATTTATAATTATTTTATTTTTAGTTCCATCATGCATCAGATGCAAAGAAAGCCATGGAACAATTAAATGGATTTGAACTAGCAGGAAGACCAATGAAAGTAGGAAATGTTACTGAACGCACGGATGGTGGATCTAGTACTCGATTTGATGCAGACGAACTAGATAGAGCTGGTGTTGATCTTGGAGCAACTGGCCGACTTCAACTTATGTTTAAACTTGCAGAAGGCACAGGACTGCAAGTATGTTATTATTTCATCATGCTACCAACAAGTGATATTTTTCTTCAAACATAGTTGTGCCGAATATTCTTTGATGTCCAAAAATGTTATTTTATTAAACACTTATTTTTTTATTTCTAGATACCACCTGCTGCAGCCTCTGTATTAATGGGAACAGGTTCAAATCTTGTATCACCACAGCCACAAGTAGCACCACCAATTGCAACACAATGCTTTATGCTTAATAATATGTTTGATCCTGCCTCGTAAGTAAACCATTGTATTAATCGTATTTAGGTATATATACTTTTGTTGTTACTTTATATTTAGTAATGACACTTATTATTTACAGAGAAACCAATCCTAATTGGGATATAGAAATAAGAGATGATGTTATTAGTGAATGTAATAAACATGGCGGAGTACTACATGTCTATGTAGATAAAGCATCACCACAAGGGAATGTATACTGCAAATGTCCAACAATTGCTACAGCTGTTGCATCTGTAAATTCACTACATGGCCGTTGGTTTGCAGGAAGAGTTATTACAGCAGCTTATGTGCCTCTTGTCAATTATCATTCCCTATTCCCTGATGCCATGACTGCTCTATCACTTCTCCTACCATCAAGGCAACGATGAAGTTGAATTAAATGGGTAGGGCTGGAATGGAAATATGCTTGTATTCTAAGAATATATCTAGTGGTGTTTAATTATAGGTAATAAAATATACATCTTATTTGTTTGCCTTTTATAAAAAAAATGTTTATTTCATTTTCCTTCGAGGTAAGTTTTTCTATTCAAAACTAATTTTATGGTTTTATACTGCTCTAATCCAATCAATTTCTAATGTAGCAGGTCCCTTTTGCTTCACTGGTTGATAGACTCCTCCATACATCTGAATCCCAATACTAGTTATTTGTGATATATCCAAAGTTTCGTTATTGTTAACCCGTTTGCCCCTATAGTAAGCTTTAAATTCGGAGAATGGCAAACTACGTATAGCAAATTCTTCCTTTGGAGCCTGTAACAATGCATATATTAGAATTGTAAAAAATTGTCGAAAATTGTTATATAGAGATGTTTCCATACCATTAAAACTAGATAAATTACACTAAATTAATGTATTAAGTTTAAAAAATCATAAAACTTATTTGATACAAAGATTTCAACATTAAATTACCTGAAAATATTGTTCAAATGAATAATTAGGTTCATCATTCAATCCTTTGTGTCTCAAAACAACTTTAAAGCCGTTATATTGCCCTTGCCCTCTACATTGAATCTGCAGCTTTGTATGTCCGGTGAGGTTATATGAATTAATTGCTCTTATTCCCGCAAAGCCAGCACCATTTAATTGAGGATTCAGTAATGCGAAAAATATGGCTCGTCTGTATGCTGTATTTTTATGAAGTACAAACACAGCTTTGGACATCCCAACGTCGCGTACAGTATCGGATTGTTCTTGCCAATTTTCAACATTGTCACATTTAGAAAAATCGAATAAATACTGTTCCTCGGGTAAAGAGATGTTACTGCAAAAATTAACACTTAGTTTCAAGAATTAACACAAAGAAATAAAATATTTTACTTTTAAATATTTACTCATTATTATTAACCACTAATTCTGATACAGCAAATAAGGAAGTAGCCTTGGCTTTCACAGCATTTACCCGTTTACTTTGTGTACACAATTGCACGGCCAAATTAAGTGATCTGCAGTTATTAAAGTGATCTGGTCGACAAGCGGACTTTTGCACTAATATAGGCTAAAATCAGCATATTCAAAATATACCTAAATCAACATTTGTTTTTTTGAGCTTACCTTGGATGACAGATAACGTTCATAAAAATTAAAATTACTAAAGGGACATAATTAGTAACAGTACCTAATGAAAACATTTTACTATTTTAAAATTAATCTAAATATTTGTATTTAAAAATGAGCACAAAACCGACTACCACGCGTTTTCTAGTAAAGATTACAACTGTCGTTAAAAATCATTCAAATGTATTCAGTAAGCGTGTACAACTGTATATCGGAGACTAACTATAAACAGCTTAGACTGGTAGGTAGTGTTGATATTATTGTACAAATGTACATTTGACATTCTTATCTTTTAACATGTCATTGACGTCTTGGGGTATCGAACCTAGCAGTACATAATCGTTACACTTCTTATATAATACAGATTTTTTAGATTGAATTATTTCAGGTTGTTTTAATATATGATTTAGTACATATGAAAATAACCTACCTATATCATATTTACATATTATAACATATAAAAGGTATTCTGTAACTTACCAATGAGAAATCTCTGTCAGCGACGCGTCACATTCTTGCTTTATATCGTCCATTTCTGATTATCTATGAAGTAGGTAGGTTGAAATTTCAGTATTATAAACACGGAGCATATGTTTGTAGGTTTAAATTTTTGAAGTTATACTTTGGCATGTTAGGGAAAAATGATGAGAGTAAATTTTTACGATGCGCGCGCACACCGTCACGAAAAAACGACACCCTAAAGTTAGCTGTGTAACGAATGTTTGCGTGAGAACTAAGAACTGTATTCACGATATTTATTTTGTGATATTTAAATAAACTTTATTAAACTAGATAATGCGTTATAATAAAACTTTCAATGTATTAAATACCTTTTTTCTATTGTTAGTGTCGTTTTTTCCACAAACGTAGAATAAGGCGAAAGATAACTTGAAAAGATTTTTATCTTGTTACGCCAAAGAAATATAACTTCTAACGCGAGTACATAAGTACACACACACTTTTTTTATGGTAATATTTATTTGAACCTATGATTATTGTACTCGTGAGACGAATGAATCTTGTTTATGACATAACTTTAAGTTGCTATCAATTGCTTAATGTATTAATGTAATTATATTGATCATGTCATATTTATTGTTCTTTAATAATTAATCTCAAACTTGTAATCAAAAATAGTAGATACTACATCGCAATAGGACGTACCTAATAGTGAAATGAATATTTATTCGAAACTGAATACCTCATTAGTGCCAAACACTGGGATTGGTACGGCGGGGCATTAAAGGAGTGCTAGCCGCACTCCTTTGTTGCCCTGAGGCCTCCACACCTCTAAATCTGGCTTTGAGTCACATTCACATGAAATTAAATACTTCTTTAAAAATGATAAAAAAATAGCAAAATTATTCACAGTAACTACGGTTTACGGACATTGATAATTAAGGTCAAACGTATTAAATAAATGATAGCTAAACATCTTACCTTGAATTAGTTCAATGTTGATTATGCCTCAAGTGATTTGGACACACACAGGACATAATATCTTACCGACTATATCGGAAAGTGAATCGTAAGACTTTATGAAGACCGTGCATATCGTATAAAGTACTCGTCAGCTATATGAATACCTACGTTGAATAATTAACGTGCATGATAAATAGTACAAATGATGCGTGAAATATCTTTTGGTCACCTTAATTGCTTTGCTTAATTGCGTAAATACAAATATATAACATAATATACAACAATAATTTGTTGTTTATTGTTCCGATGTAATGTTGTTTAGATCCTCCCGCCTAACGTATTTCTCGAATTCATTGTTCAGGTCTTCAACAATCCACAGTGGGCCCACGTGGTGGACTATGCCCTAATACCCTCTGTACAGAGGAGGCCTTTGCCCAGCAGTGGAACATGTATAGGCTGATACTTTTTTATAAAAGTCTGGTCAATACTCAGTAACGATTCGTTTGAAAAATATAAAATAACCATATAAAAGCCTTCAATAAACGCTGCTTTCTTAGGTATAAGGAAAAAATATTTATTAGTAATGTACATTTTGTACCAAGTTAATTAATTCCTACAAAAAAGATGAATGTAAAAATATAATTAACATATAGCTACGATTTTATTCATAACTAGCTTTTCGCCCGCGGCTTCGCTCGCGTTGAATCCCTTAAATAAATTTCTTTTAACCCTTTACAACACTTTTTTTCAATTAAAAAGTAGCCTATGTTTTTTCAAAGGTACTAAACTATCTGTGTACCAAATTTCATTTAAATCGGTTCAGTAGCTTTGGATTGAAAGCGAGACAGACAGTGTTACTTTCGCATTTATAATATTATAGTACTAGCTGTGCCCGCGACTTCGTCCGCGTGGAATTTAAAATAAAAAAAAATATAAAATAAACGTAGCCTAAGTTACTCCTTATTACATCAGCTATCTAGTCTAGTCCAGCCAGCGAAAGTCCCGTCCAAATAGGTCCAGCCGTTTCAGAGATTAGCCGGAACAAACAGACAGACAGACAGATAAAAATTGTAAAAAATGTTATTTTGGTATATGTACCATGTATACATCCATATGCATTTAGTAAAAAGCAGTTATTTTAATATTACAAACAGACACTCCAATTTTATATATCTGTACACATGCTTATCGCCTTACTTCACTGCTGGAAAGCGTCGATACAAAAGCTCTACACGAAAATAATGACTTAGGAAGCAAGTAATATTTTACATATATAGACTGAGCGAAATAAGAAATTAAAATTCATTTGACGTAGGCTTAACGAGTCCAGAGATCGTTGTTACCCCCACAAAATTGTAAAGGTAACAAATGATTTAAAAAATAAAAGACTGAAGATAAGGAAGAATTTCAGACCTGGAATCGTACTTCAATCAACGTCAATCACACATTATTTCTGTTTAAATAAATTGCCCGAACAAGCCGGATTCCGAAAAGGCTTCAGTACCATAGACCACACACCATGCGGCAGATTATACAGTAGACCGAAGAGTATAATCTGCCTTTGTGCCTAGCGTATGTTGTCTATGAGAAAGCCTTCGATCCTGTCGAAATATGGGCGGTACTCCAGGCTCTTCAGCGGTGCCAAATTGACTGTCGGTATATCGAGGTGCTGTAGGTCCGTCCAAGTACAGTCCAGTAGTACAAAACCTATCCAACTGCAGAAGGGTGTAAGACAGGGTGACGTCGTATCCCCGAAACTCTTCACCGCTGCGTTGGAAGGTGTTTTTAAGCTTCTGGACTGGAAAGGACGAGGTATTAACATCAATGGCGAATACATCACCCACCTTCGATTTGCCGACGATATAGTCATCATGGCAGAATCGCTGGAGGACCTTGGTACTATGCTCAATGACCTCAACAGTGTCTCCCAACGGCCCACCCGTCCCCCGGCCCTTAAGATGAACATGGACAAGACGAAGATCATGTCTAATGTCCGTGTCACACCAATACCGGTTGTTGTTGGGAGCACTGAGCTCGAAGTTGTTGACGAGTACATTTACCTAGGACAGTTAGTCCGGCTAGGTAAGTCCAACTTCGATGCAGAGGTCAATCGGCGAATCCAACTCGGATGGGCAGCGTTCGGGAAACTACGGCAAATCTTCTCGTCAAATATACCTCAATGTTTGAAGACTAAAGTCTTCAATCAATGTGTGTTGCCAGTGATGACATACGGAACCGAGATGTGGTCCTTCATTGCTGGCCGTATGAGGAAGCTCAAAGTCGCTCAGCGAGCTATGGAGCGGCCTATGCTCGGTATTTCTCTGCGTGATAGAGTTCGTGACGAAGACATTCGCAGTAGAACCAAGGTAACCGACATAGCTCAGAGGATTAGCAAGCTGAAGTGGCGATGGGCCGGCCATATAGCTCGTAGAACCGATAACTTTTGGGGAAGAAAGGTTCTCGAGTGGCAGCCTCGTACTGGCCATCGCAGTGTGGGACGACCCCCCACTAGATGGAGTGACGACCTGTGCAAATGTGCCGGAAGTCGATGGATGCAGGTGGCTCAGGATCGTACTTATATATGGGGGAGGCCTATGTTCAGCAGTGGACTCAAACAGGCGGAAATGATGATGATGATGATGAAATAAATTGTCTCAAACTCAAGAAACTCTTCAGACCACTATGAAGCGAGTAATACGATCGAATCGAAGTTTTACCGGAGAAACTTTTTCAAACGAAATAATAAAAAAACCGGTCAACTACTTGTCGAACCCATACGGTGAGGGTTCCGTACCTACCTAATATACCAGAGTTCCCCAAACTTTTTTGTGTCGTAGACCCCTTGCCATGTTTTTCCGTGTTGATATTCATTGACTTACCTGATATTGATTTCCTGTAAATTTATAACTGTTGTGAAGTTTAGTGTTAAAAACTTAAAGTAAAAGCACATGTTAATTTATACATTTATTAATTGAATTTTAATTAAAACTACTCAAAATAAAATTTTGTATCTGTTATTTAAATAAATTTTCTTAGCACTTTCCTTTTCAAGATTAAAATAAATATTTTTTAAAATAGTTTCTTAGCACTTTCCTTTTCAAGATTCACTGGTAAACGATGTTAAACGTATTTTGTCGAACCCCCTTTATCGTACATTCGACCGCGCGGACAACGTATAAACACCTTAACGGATTCGCACCCTTGCCTCCTGAATGGCTATAGAGCGCGACGAGAATTGAACAAGGGGACCGTGCAACGGTAGCGCAACAAGCTCTGAGAAATCTGTTGACAGTGCGACTCTCAGGTTTTTACAAGTTCAAAATGTATTGCGAATACCAACATCCTACAACTTACACAATTTTATAAACACTAGTACCTGGAGGACCGAGCTTTGCTCGGTATTTTTATTATTTTTTTTGTCACACGTAATTTGGAAATTACATAGATACAAATTACTGAGTAATGAAATATGCATATTTTTCGATCGAACCAAAATATTTTTCGATCGAACCAAAAACTAAACAAAGCAATGATTTGGAATCGATAAAAAATAAGTGTGTGAATCGTGATAGGAACCGCGGCCATCTGTTTTGTGGCCGCCCGATTACCGACCGAGCTATTATAACATTTTTATTTGCGGCGAAATTTACCGTCGTATTCGAATGATAGTTTTCATTCCCTGAAAACAGGGATAAAAGGACATATATATACAAGAATTGCTCGTTTAAAGGATAAGAGATTTATAATAATTTTTTTACTTCATAGGTACTTTTTTATAAATAATGTATATGTTTTGATATAATAAGATAGTATGATGTAAGTAAATAGGTACTATCAGTGTATGTGTTGAGATCCACTATCGTGGACCCCCATTTTCATTTCATGGACCCCAAATTTTTTTTCGCTGACGTAGACCCCTTGCAGGTTGTCATAGACCCCTAGGAGTCGATATAGACCACTTTGGGAATCACTGTCAATATACAGCCATAATAAAATTGGTAAATAATCACCACCGATTTTCGCAGCAACGGGTGGTCCTAGTTAAGTTGAAATTTATACTAGATACTGTTGATCCAAATCCTAAAGGGTACTTCCGGTTGTCCTAGAATTT